TTTTGGGTGTTTTAGTGAAACTCCCTATTCTTTATGCATAGCTTGGCCGGACATTAAATATACCAAAATTCAGTTTTTTCCTTTCAACTCTGTAAATTATACAATATGGGATCCGGTTAGATAAACCCAATCGAAAAATAAAATTCTTCAGCAAATTTTATTTCTCCAACTTCCTTTTGCGACTATATATAATGCTATTGATAATACATGATAAAATTAAAATTGTATTGTATGTATTTTGTCAATCAAATGGGCATGGGAATGTGTTAATTTATTCACTTTTAGGGTAAGTTTGGCATTGCTATGCTGTGAAAATAATCAATGTCTGATTAGCTGTGAGAAAAAGCAGTTTGGAGTTTGATAAACTTTTTGTTAAAAGTGTTGTTGGTACAATAATCAATTTCTAAGTATCAACTTGCTCTCTCCATTTGAGATGAAAGAGAAGGCATACCGAATGATGCACAACACAGGAAAGGTATAGGAGAGGTACTCGGAAGGAAGAGTATTTATATTTAGTATGAACTAATGAATAAAACTGCAGAGAGAATAAAGCTTGAACCCTAAAAGAAGGCTGATGATGATGGGATTAGTTGAGTTTAGTAACCTTGAGCACCTAGCTATGCCTTAGAGCATCTCAACCCACAAGGGCTAAGTCTAAGGCAAGGGCAAGTAAGGGCTGCCACTATTCACGTGAATAGTGTCAACCTTTGCATTTGTGGTTCCACCCACAAGGGCAAAGTCTACGGCAAGTCTAAGGCAATTACTATTCATTGTACTTTATTTCCTATTTTTTTATACTTTAAACCATTAATTTTAATAATCTTTTGTAATTAAATTTCCGGATAAGATTTTCACCCTCTAAAATTGTGTCATGTGTCCCATGTCAGATATGATTTTCAGATATTTAAAAAAAAATTTATAATCTCAGATTTCAGATAAAATTTTCACCCTCTAAAATTGTGCCACGTGTCCAATGTCAAATAAGATTTTCAGATATTTTTTAAAAATTATAATCTCAAATTTCAGATAAGATTTTCACCCTCTAAAATTGTGCCACATGTCCCATGTCAGATAAGATTTTAGAGGGTGAAAATTTTATCTAAAATATGAGATTATAATTTTTTTTTAAATATCTGAAAATCGTATCTGACATGGGACACGTGGCACAATTTTAGAGGGTGAAAATCTTATCCGAAAATTTAATTACAAAAGATTATCAAAATTAATGGTTTAAAGTATAAAAAAAATAGGAAATAAAGTACAATGAATAGTAATTGCCTTATACTTGCCCTGGACTTTGCCATTGTGGGTGGAACCACAAATGCAAAGGTTGACACTATTCACGTGAATAGCGGCAGCCCTTGCTTGCCCTTGCCTTAGACTTAGCCCTTGTGGTGGAGATGCTCTTATATAGAGATATTTTCCCCTTCCCACTTTGACCCCAAATTTGTATGCATGTCGCTAGAACAAGTTTTAAGTTGGACCACTTCTGTCAGAGTCAGACTTTTCTAATTAAACACTGCATTCGTGTGGTGGGGACATGATTGATTTAAGTGCTTCAAACCATATCTGAAAACAACTCTACTGAATCTTCCCCGACTACTATTCACAATAATATTCAACATATTAAATACCCGTACCGCTATATGGAGACACCAAAGTTCATTCATCAAAGACAAAGTCCCTGTTGATTCAAATTTGTACCCATTTTAAACCTTACCAAGTAAAATATTATTTGTTTGGTGACTCAAAGCGTCATGAATTACTTAAACCCTCCGTACTCTGTTGTTTAAGCAAATTGATAAACAGGAGCCAGTATTAGGTACGCGGCTTTCTTAAACAACAAGAAATGAGGTTGTCCACACGCCCTAGACAACAAGGTTTAATTCCAAACACATTACTTGACTTTGAATATTGCTCATGAGTACTAGTTGAGTTGAGAAGAATTCAACACGTGCATCGGGCAGTTCTGAATCTTAACATTTACTTGTTGAAAAATTAGGCTTGAAATTTGTAGGGATTTCTGTGAAGCCATTATAAATAAAAGGGAAATTTTGTTGTTGAATATCTAGATGAACAAGCATCTAAAAAGATTGATGATAATTATAATGGTGATCAAAGTTTAAATGTGTCTAGACTTTTGACCAATATCCTCAACTATAATATATATATATATATATATATAAATTTCCTTATGCGGACGTGCGGACGTACGTCATGTATTTTCTATTGCCCCTTTCTGCTTTCCTCCCTATTTACAATGACATCAGTACAGTAATAACGTGCAAACATCTTTATGAGAGAATATATAGAGCACATGAAAATATGGAAGTATATAAATAATTCCCAAAATTACAAAGGGGTAGTGCTCCAGACCTAATTACTCTAAAGCCGACCCAGATAGCCAACCCTTACGTAAGAATTAGCAACAGATTAGGGGTGCAAAGTGGTATTTAACATTAATTAAGTTCCACCACTTCCATGGAGAATCGTCAAAGGCCCATAAGAGTTGAATAAAATAATATTGGGTGATATACAAAGGTTTAGCTTAATTTAAATATATGTGAACCACTGAGACTGGGTCAAGACCTTTCACAATCAGTCCCAACCCAAGTCGTACGTCCAAAATAGTAAACACCATGGAAACTTCTGGAGTGAAGTGACACATTCCCTAGCTAATAATTTTCTCTCAAAAATATATTGTGAGGCTTTTCAAACTAAATCTGTGGTTGAGCACTTTTGAGAAATTTTAAAGAAACAAGAAGAAGAAGGAAAAACACCGAGAAGACAGTTGTAGTGGGAAAAGAAATTTTATGTTTGTGTCTCGCAATTACCAGAAGTTTGGCCGGACATCAAATATACCAAAATCCAGTTTTTTTCTTTGTCTCGACTCTTTCAACTCTGTAAATTATACAATGTGGGATCTGGTTAATTAGTTTCGAAGCTCATTAGATAAATTCAATCGAAAAATAAAAATCTGTAGCAAATTTTATTTCTCCAACTTCCTTTACGACTGTATATAATGCTATTAATAATACATATGATAAATTAAAATTGTATTGTATGTATTTTGTCAATCAAATGGGCAGGGAAATGTGTTAATTTATCCACTTTTAGTGATCAGTTTTTTAGAAATTGGGCTTGAAATTTGTACGGATTTCTATCAAGCCTTTCTTTTTTTTCTTACTAGAAAAAAAGAAAGAAAAAAAACGTGTTGAATATCTTGATGATAAGTATGACGATGTTCAAAAGTTTAAATCTATCGAAACTTTTGGGTAATCCTAAATATTAATTAACTCCAAAGCCGACCCATATAGCAAACCCTTACCGGTTGAGCAAAAACTAGTTTTGATTTTGAGAGAATAAGTTGTAGATGAAAGAAGGGGGTCTCATTGAAAATTTGATTTTCAATTTTATTGGGTAGATCTGAAGTTTTTCACTCATATCATCTTAATTTCAGATCTTAGACCTTTGATTTCTATTGGCTTCTTTAAGATGGGCTTGATATCCTGAGGAAACTAATGTGGGGTTGAATATATATATATTTGCATTTAAAATTTTCCTTGTTCGTCTACATGTGCGTCTGAAGACAATGTTCTTGATGAGAAGAATTTTGTGGATTCTTATGGCCTTAGGAAGAAGACTAGGTTGAAGGGTCATGTAAAGTGCTACACATGTGGTGCTGTTGGACACATTGATGTGGAATGTGCAAATAACCACATAAAAGAGTCTCAAGGGAGACAAGAGTCAATTAGTGTGTGATAGAGTCATAGTGATGTTTCTTCTAAGTATATCACTTCATCCGATGAATAGGCAAATTATTCTGCCCTTGCTGTTTCTGTTCATAACTCTAGCTTTGTTAGAATTCATGTAATTAATAAGAGATAATCTAATTCTAAAAATGAATTTGAATATGGTGATGATGGGCAGGATTACTAGTCATACCTTGGTCTATGTGAAAAGTATGAAGTACTTTTTACTAAAACTTCCAAGTTTAAGGAGAGAAATATCATTCTGGAAGAAAAGGTCAAAGACCTTGAAGAACTTTGTTGGGGTCTTTTTCCGTCGGAAGGCTAGTCCGGACTTGTTGATTCTTGGACTGCCATAGAGTAGTGAATCAAGCATTCGTTGCCCTTTTTTCAAGGTTAGTGAGAACTAGACCCAAAGCATCCCGAGGGAGAAGCAAGTCCCAGGAGAGTGCTTTGTTCTTCTTCCAGCGGCTACGTGTTTTATGCTGATGTTTCCAGCAGCTAGACAAAGAGTTGGAGATGGTGCTTTGATGTTACACATGCTTGGCATGAGAGTTTGCTTTAGTGAATCAAGATACTACTAGGCTTGGCATTAGAGGCTTGTGGCATGGGAGCTAAGAGAAAATGAGCATAAAGAAAGGATTAAGGCTTGAGATTTTGGGTGTTTTCGGCAGTTAGACGAAGAGCTTGCGATGTCTGCGTTTTCAACTTAGCTTGTGAGGATGGGTGTTTCAGATCTGGGATGAAGCTTTTTGAGAGAGAGAGAGAGAGAGAGAGAGAGATGAGGATGAATGGATGAGTGACTTGAGTAGATTTTATGAGGATGAATGTATGAGTGACTTGAGTAGATTTTTCAGTAGCTTGACGATTGCTTGGTCGTGATCTGGATGGTTGAAGATGACTTGTTGATGTTGAACATAGATTGTGTGAGCTTGGCATGAGAGCTTGGAGTGTGGGAGTTAAAGACCCACAAGTTTAGCAAATGAGAATGCATGTGATTGGCTTGGTGTTGGATATGCTTGAGTTTGGGTATTAAGAACTTGTTGTTTGTGGCTATGGCTATAGTGATTTAAGAGTTTCAAGGAAAGGATGATGGAAGGAAAAGCTTGAGGCTTGAAGGCTTTGGTGTTTATAGCTTAGAAGGGTTGAGGAGGAAGGAAAAGTTTGGAGTTATGCTTGGTGGGGCTTTATAGGGAAGATGGAGGATTTCAAGGCTAAGAAAGTAGAAGAAATGGTTGTGATAGCTGAGGAATGGCTGGAATGGCTGCTGTTATGCTTGCAGTAGTTGAAGGGAGGAATGAAGGTGGTCTGATGGTTGCTGGGGTGCTTAAGCAACCAAGAAATGTTGTTCACTACTTGTGTCATGACTTCTAATTTATAGAAGGCAAGGGCTTTCCTTTATTTCCAATGGGTAAAAGAAGGTGATGAAACCATTCTATTTCCAGCATGTAAAAGGAAGCATTGAGCCATTATTATTTCCAATAGGCAAAGCTAGGCATTGGAAAATGACTATTTCCTATGGGTAAAATGAGGTGTCGGAATTGCCTTGTTTCTAGAAGGTAATAGGGATTGCTTGAAGGGTATCTCATTTGCTCACCCACATTGGAGAACTCCAAGCAATGGGCTTGGACTTTGGTGCTCCCAAATAGCTAACCCAAAGTGTCCATTATCCAAGAGCTTCCGTGGGCCTTATGGACCTTCGTAACCTTCCACACCACAATCCCTTATGCAACCTCCGTAAACCACATGACTTAAGTTCATGTGAACTTGGTAGGTGATTGACATATGAAAAATGTATTATTGGCTTGGCATGACATGCACACTATTTCTATATTTATTTAATGAATTAATTCCCAAAATACAGCTTGGATTAATGTATGACCAACATTATATGTCATATTGGGCTTTAAATGTCTTTGGGCTTCTCGTGACATTTTGGGCCTCAACAAACTTAATGGAACTCTCAAAATGGGTAAAAATAAGTTGAGTGATATCTTATATGAGAATGAAGTTGACATATATGAATTGTATCATAAAGTTAGCACTCTTGAAAAAGAAATTTCTAATTTAATTGAGAAGTTGAATATGCTTGAAAATGATAAATCCTTGTTTCTTCATAGACTAACTTTGCTTGAGTTTGACAAGTTATTAGTTTAGCACTAAAAGTTAGTCGTGCATGATAATTTTGTGGTTGAAAATTCTGTTTTACAATGCATGTTATTTGAGAAAGTGTTATGTTTATGCTTTTTAAGTTTTTCTTTTGGGTTCCCTTGACAATATTGTAATAGGACATAATTGTAATTACCCAAGCTCAAGTTTAGTTTAAGCATAGTTTCTCTAAGTGTTCTTATCTGGCTACTATCTTATGGAAGATCAATCATATTGGCAAAGGTAATTTGTGCATTGCATCATATTGCATTCATTAGATTTCTTAAGATTATGACTAGTCATCTTGTTTTCGTATGACTAGTCATTTTTTGCATCAGTAAGTTTTCCAGCTCACTAGTTTCCAGCTGGATCCTACTAAACCTTTTTGTCCTATACTACGAATTTTCTCAACTGCCATGTGTACTATTATGACCTCGGAATTTTTGGGTAAACAGCTGTGACTTTTGAGGGGAAGTTTTAAAAAGGTTTCTTCCATCCTTTTGCTTCTTCTTCCTCAAGAGAAAATCACCTTTTTCATCTATGAGTTTTCTAAATTGATTTTCGAAAATTGCTTTAAACACACACACACACACACACACACACACACACACACACACATATATCTAGGTCAGATTCAAGAGTGGTTTCTTGAAGAAATTGGTCATTCTTCCTTGAATCAAAATTTTGGTTTCTGTCTGAGTTTGAGCTGGCTAGCTGGTGTCATGGAATGAAAGAGCTGAAGAAGGAGCTGCCATTGCCATGAAAGACTAAGCTGCTAGTTTTGCTAAGTTGGAGAAGAAGATTGCACAAAGGAGGTATAACTTATCTTCCTAAATAGGTCTAGGATTTCTTGAGCTTGCTTGTGTTTCTTTGCTTAGTGGATTGCTTGGTTGGTTGGTTACCCCCAGTTTTTCCCTAGTAGTGGGTTTCTGGGTGAACAATTTCTGGTTTGCAACTTTGTAATTTTCTGGGTTTGTGTTATTGCGGTTGACTAATCATCATTATCTGCTATTTGTTGTTTATTTGATTATGATGCTTTCACACACTTTCACCATAGCTGTTGCTAACACAGGGGATGCCTAGATTGACGGGGCCTTCTGAGTGCCTAGGTTGTCATTAGTAATCTTCTAGGTTTGTAGGTACATATTGGTATGCTCTGTGTGTGTGTTCTTGGTTATGGTTTCATGACTAGTTGTTGACTAGTCACAATCATCTTTGGTCAAGTTTTAAAGTGTGTGAATATTGTTATGTCTGTCTTAATAGCATTTAAATTTATCCATCGTCACCTAAGTACAAATTCATAAACACATTAATTTTGAGAGAAGAAGTTGTAGAGAAAAGAAGGGGGTTTCATTGAAAAATTGATTTTCAATTTTATTGGGTAGATCTGAAGTTTTTTTGCAATTGATTTACAAGGATGTGCTACTACAAGGATGGTTTGATAAGTATGTGAGGAGGCTCCTTCAAATGATGACGCTTCTTTTTCTTAATTTTGATAAGAAAAATTTGTGATGAATTAATTCAGTCAAAAGTGCTCCATAGTCAAGACCTATCATAATCAGTCATATTAACTTGTTTAATTAGTGGGACATTAGTGGTTCAAAATACTTGTTTAACTTGTTTAATTTTTTAATTAGTGTTTAATAAATCAATTTACAACGTGGGATATATGTTTAATTTGTTTCCAAGTTGATTGCAATGCTTCAAAAAGAAAAAGAAACACTCGGGTGCGTAATACTTAGCCAAATAAATAAAGAATATGAAGGAAGGAACATATTATACATATATATACTGCTGATTTCATCACAACCAACCTGTTAATTGGTATTTATTGGGAGAAAAATAAATTAAACAATTTCTTGCTTACATTGGGAGAAAATAATTTCAGTACTGAATTACATGAAGAAATAAAATAAAATAATTGACTTAGCATTTCATCATGACTTTGATGGCCTTTTATTTTTTTTGAAGATTAAACATAATTAAAAGGAATTATATATATATATATATATATATATATATATACGTATGAGAGCAGCATATTATTTCTTTCGTGGTGCTGCTGATCATGTCCTTTCATGAACGACCTTGCTCCTCTGAGCCCTCTCCTTAGAGAGAACGCTCGCTATCCTACACATGCAAATTAATTAACAAAACAAAAGTCATTAGTATGTTAATTTATTGAATTTACATGATCATGCTACAACTTAATCATAATATATAATAGAGCAAATACCTCACAAGAGCCTCTGCATTTGTAACCTCAGGACGAACAGGCTTGGTTTTATCGGTATCAAAGTTCACTCTTGAAACCGGTTTCTTCAACAATGCCTCTCCAACTTTTACCAAATCATTCAAGTTTTGTTCTGTGGCAATATCTGCGGAAGCCAATGTTCCACTTAGCGTATCATCCTGCATATTCATTTCCGAGTACTTGTGAGCTTAGTTTGTCTACGTAATACCTTTTTTTCTTTCTTTTTCTTTTTTTTTTTTGTATATAAAACAGTCATTTGATCTAGTGATATTTATCTCAATTTTATTGCACATTCTTTTGTTACCTGAATTCGAAGGTAATTGTCATGAGACTGAAGGGCTTGAAAAATGGTAGCAAGGTGGAAATCAACCATGTCACTACCTGCGTGGGTAAATATATCCACCAATGGAGTCGAAAAATCGGATCCGATAAGCCACCCAAAAGCACCCCACTCAGCCGCTTCCTTGGCGTCGTACTTCTCCTCAGACGTTGTACCCGTCCCTAGTGATATGACTAGGAACCGCCCATACAACTGTTCATTTTCACCCATAGGCAGGAAGTCGGGGTTGCCCTTGTGGATTTGTTTCGTCACTTCGCTCATAGCAACCAAGGCCTAGAAAGAAAGAAAAAATGAATACACACATATTAATGATGATCATATATATGAAATAATTCAGATTATGCAAATTAGGTTTTTGCAATTTGATCAATGTATACCGGGTTATTGGCAGCAACTCCACCGTCGGTGAGATTGAATTCTCTTGATTCACCATTTGAATTTGTGGATTTAAATTGATAGGTTGGAAGATAGTATGGGGCTGCTGAAGTTCCAATGCATATATCCGAGAGCAAAGCATCTAAGCTGGGTTTCTTTTTCAACTAAAATCATGACAAACATATATATACAAAATCAAGAAATGTTCATAAAAAGAGCACCATTATAATTAAATTATGTAAGTACATGCATGTGTTTCAATTAAGAGATAATTAATAAACAAACCTGATAGCTGGAGAAGATAACTGGTTGCAGCCGCTTTATATCAAAAGTTGGGATTACAACGTTAGTTAATGTGTCGCGCAAATGTTTGTCTCCTAATTTTTCCTTCAACATTTTATGTAAATACTTCCCGTCATATTTTGGTCTCCCTAGACTTTTCAAATTATCCTCGACATTGACGAGTGGAGAACTGTTGTACATGGATGAAAATTAATTATCGTGAACCATTATGTATACAAATGTGTAGTACAAAAATCTATGAAGAATTAACTATACCTGGTTTGGGGGAAGATTTTAGGGCAGTTTTCGAGATAAAAAGGGTTGATATCTTTAGCAGCATACAAAGGACGGTTATTTTCATTTGGGGTAGTAAGCATGGCTGTCACAAGGCCACCTGTACTAGTCCCTGTAATCACATCAAAATAATCTGCTAGCCTTGCATCCTGACCATCCAGTTTCTGCATATGGCAAACAAGTAAAGCGAAAAGTTAGTCGCATTAGATTTTTTATTTTTTATTATTTAAAAAGAATGAGAAACACCAACAAATTATGAGAAGTGGAGCAAACATGCTCGCTAGGTGTAACACCATGTGATGGCGTGATCAATCCACTTATATTATAACACGTGTATTTATTTAAAGTTTTGGTTTGATCATTGTTTTACCTGAAGCTCAGACTCTAAGAAGTTGAGGATGGTTCCTGGGATAATCCCTCTTATTCCACCTCCATCAATACTAAGAACAGTAATGAGACTTCCATTTGTGGGAGAGTGAAGGGATGATCTTGTTTTCTCCATTAGTGATACAAGAGAAGGTTACGCACAAGACTTTAGTTTAGGAACGAAAACTCAGAGAGAGAGAGAGAGAGAGAGAGATTAATTTGAAATTTGAAGAATCTCAAGAGGAAGGCGTTGTAGGTTGTAGGAATTAAGCTTTGGTTGTGGGGTTTATATAGAGCTCTTTCCCCCCAAATCTTGACCCCAAACTTATGTATATCTTGACCGAGTTGTTTCAGTTTTCTTTTTCATTTGCGGTTTACTTTGTCTTTTGAATAGTCCTTATATTGTAATTAGACATGTCTTTTGAATAGTCCTTATATTGTAATTAGACATGTCTTTTGAATAGTCCTTATATTGCAAGTTGCAATGTTTTTCGTGTGAAATTTCATATTTAAATGAAAATCACGATGTTAAAACATAATATTGATTTAAAATCCCACATTTCAATTCACTTCCGTTGATATTCACACATATGCACGTACGTCATCGTTTTGAAGCTGGAACATCCAAACCAAGATGGAGTGCTCATCCTGCTTTCTTGTGTTTTGAATTTTATTTACCAATACCAGGTCCTCTGGTCCGGTCCAGCTTCTTAATTTGTCTTGTACAAGCTTTGGCTCACTTGATTGGGATAGTCCAGCACGCTGCCTCCTCCTCGTGAGAAATGCTTACTTGTGCCAACAAATTCATCAGATAAACTCAATCCTTAATGGCTTGTTTACAACAAGGAATGAGAGTCGCTCCCATTGAAGGATATTTCAGTATTTAATAATGTGATTGCTGATAAGATTCACTCCGATTACAAATTAGTCGACATGTTTAGTAATGTAAACGAAAAACCAACAAGGTTTAGCCCGATGAAAAAGGATCTTGACTTGCAGACCGATAGTCTCATGTTCAAACTCCAATAACACCTTAGTAGTGTGTATGTGTGTGTGTGTGTCCGTGTGTGTATGACAAACCCCCCTCTCCATTGCACCTTAAAATATCACTCACAAATTTATTAGATAAGATTAAAATGAAACCATCACTATCTCTGTGGTCGGGCTTAAATGTATCGTGTATATGTTAATTACAACTTACAACGAAGTCAGCCCCAAAAAAAAACATTTAATACAAGATTTTTGTTGAACAAGATATTGCACAACTGGACAGCACGTACACTAGAAAGAGTGATGCATACAGCTTTGGGATTGTCTTGCTAGAGCTTATAACCGGCAGACCAGCAATAATAACAGTTTTAGAACCTGTACATGTTAATGTATCTGATTGGGTGAGGGCCAAAGTTGAGAGAATGAAAACTGAAAGCATTGTGGATTCGAGTGTACAAGGGACATACAAGGTGTTAATGGCTTATACCATCGCCGTGAGCTGAGCCTATTAGAGAACGTCACGGGGCCGTAGTTGGGCTGAGTTACCTTTAATATCAACCCGATCAGACTTGGTATCCCCGGGGGTCGATAAAAGGCCTCCTAGCCAAGGTCTGATGGGACAAAGGTCGAATCAGTGCTCGGGCATTTGAACACCGACCTGCCCACTATGATGCCGTGTTCGACCAGAGGCGCATTAATGATCAACATGCATGATCAGACCCCTGTCAAGTCAAACACTCCACCCCTTTGATAAATAGCCTAGCAAGTGAGTTAGATCAGTTGTACATCTCATCCAAGACCAGGTGTCGCCTTACCCTTTGATCCCCTAGTGAACAGGCTGGTGATGGAGAGGGATCATTTAATGTACTTCCCATCCAAAGCCACATGTCACTTTGTCACACAATCCCTGTCAGATAGTATGGTGATTAAAACAAGTCATTTAATGTGGTCTAAGTCCTACCAGGGGAAAGGAAGATAAATATCCCCTCCTTAAGTATCTTTGTCTCTCATTCTCCCCCTATAAACTTCACCTATCTTTGGACAAAGGTAATAAAGATTCTCACCTGATAAACCCTACATCCTTTTCTCCATCTCTAAATAGCTTCTGACTTAGCCATCGGAGGACGCTCAACTGGGACCAACCCCAATTCGCTCATATTCTAATAACTGTTCGAAGTGTGCAGGTCTTCTCTAGAAGGCATTACCACCAAGAGATCAGGTATAGGTCCAGGCCTCTATCCAGGTTCAGGCCATATAGTATACAAGAAGGATACACGGTTTACACAAGGATTCTTCTGCACAGAAAGCTAGAAAAACTGCTCTGGCTTGTGTGTCTAAAACACCAACCGAAATGCCAGAAATAAGTTATGTGTATGACAGATTGAAGGAATGCTTGGAAATTGAGAAGGGCCTCTGAAGAATCAGCGATTGCGAGTGAGGGAAGATTGAGCAGTTCAAATCAAATGAACACCATTTAACAGATGTACCGTTTAGTACTAGTCCTTTGAGTGTTGGTGTTCTTCTTAGGCTTCAGGTTTGGTTTCAGTTTGTCGCTCTGGGAGTGTTTTCTTTTGGCTTGCTGGGTTCTTTGGGGTTTCTGCTTTGCTTTTAGTTTTTTCTTTCTTTCTTGCTTTTTCCTGTTAAGTTGTTTGCTCTTGGACAGGGCCAGTCCTAGAGCTTAAAAGATGCGTAAAAATAAAAGTTGAAGACATAAAGTTAGAAATTGGGTGTTTTACATTTAACCTTTCAATCTGAGAAAACCATAATATGGCAATCAAGGCAAGTGGTCTTGCGCTTTATAACTTGACACGTGGCAACCTCAATGTTTGCAAGAGCCAAGGAAAGTGTTGTGAGCTCCCGGTACTAGTCCTTTGAAAGCTCACTGTTTGTCTCACAGAAACAAAGGCAAATTTAACTTTAAGAAAATATATATAGCCAAACTGCAGATTATAAATACTATGATGTGAGATCATAATTCATGTGTGAGGGAGAGAGAGAGCTTCAATTTCCCTTAGGCTAGTTGGAAGCAAAGAAATTTTATTCTAGTTGCATTCTTATTCAACGCATTCAATCATCTAAACAGGAAATAACTTTGGACCTTTGGTGGTGGGGTGGGGGAGCTCTGACTTTAAACCATCTTGACATATTTAGTGCCTTTGTGCCATGACCAAGACTCAGAAGGCGACTTGGGTAGAGGTGGAAGCAACACAGTCTTCTGGTGTTAAATGACTATGAATGACATGAAATAGGCTCTTTAGCTTCAATGGTTTTGTCTTCTCTTCTTCCTTTTTACTTCTCTTTATGATCAAAATAATCTCACAATTAGTTCTTCAATAAAATCTCTTCACACTTGGCTTGAACTTGGACAAATATATATCTTCATCTTTTGGCTTTCCAACTTCTTACGAAAGATAAATTCACCTAATAAGTTTACCAAATTAAATACATAAAATTCATAAATCCAATTAGTGAGAATGAAATGTAACAATAAGTGAAATTATCTTTATTAAACCAAATTTATAGCATAAAGTCTCCAAAATAATATTAAAAGGCATAATTTAAGACTCCCATTAGCCAACCCTCACAATGACAGAATTGCTGAATTATGGACTGCCTCGAAAAATCTTTAAACTCAATCACATTAAGGCTCGAACAACGGGACAAGCTTGTCTTGACAGAAAGAAACACATCTCCACTTGTGGCAACAGTTGAGCAGCAAGAGATGCAACTTTTAACAGATAAAAATTCTTCTTTCTCATCATCTTCTTCACCATTATCCTTTTTGTTTTGCATTCCTTTCTGGCTTATGAATAAATCTCCTGAATTTGAAGAGTGGACAAATGAAAAGCTATCTATCCAACTGCTAGGCTTCCGTCTCAACTTTTCCATTGCAGCGCTTCGAATTGCTGATACAATTGTTGGAGTTTTGATAGTGTATTAGTTTTCTTGTAGAGAAATTATCTGAAGAAATGCAGCAGAGAAAAATAGAGATGGTGCGTGAGAGAGAGAGAGAATGTTACTCAGCTCCAATAGCAATAGAATGCAATGTACACACACATTTCATTTCTAACAGAACATTCCTTTTGTACAACAGAGAATATGATCTCAGCCATACAATTTAGTGTCAGCAATATGAGCTGCACACTTGGCATGAGCTAGGACCTATGAGACCTACACTCTAGAATGAAATCTAAGCCTTACACCTGTCAGCTAACAAACTTAAACCAGTAACTAATTTATATTTCAACATTCCCTTCTAAATTGTTAACTAGTTTAACACCAAGCAATCCTCTTAAATAGTTGAATCGATCTTTAGGCAGAGCTTTGGTGAAGAGCCTGGCCACAGGAGCAAAAGTCTCATTGAAGTCAATTCCAGGCTTTTGTGCATAGCCTTTTGACCACTAGCCTAGCTTTATGCTTTTGTATTGAGCCATCAAGGTTCAATTTGGTTTTATAAACCCATTTCACACCAATCACAGGTTTATCACTTGGTCTATCAACTAGTTCCCAAGTCTCATTCTTCTCAATCATCTCCATTTCTATTTCTATTTCCATTGCCTTTTGCCAAGCCTTATCCTTTGAAGCTTATGCAAAATTCTCTGGTTCAATGATACTCATATTGCATCTAGCATAGATCTCAGTGATATCTCTGAGCTTCACAGGTGTAGAACTTGGTGATTCATCTGATGAATCAGCATTTGACACATCTGTGATTATCTCAACTGAGCTAGAGATATTTTCAAGTTGTGTTGCTGGTGTTGATGAAGCTGTGACTTCATACTCTTCTTCAATACTTCTAGGATTGTCTTCAAGGTTCATTGGAACCGTGATATACTCAATAATCTGTTTGTCCCAATCCCAAAATGCACCTTCATAAAAAAATAACACTTCTAGATACAGTTATCTTGTTTGTCTGTAGGTTGTATACTTTATAGCCCTTTTCACATTTTCCATAGCCAACAAAAATGCATTTGACAGCTGAGTCTGCCAATTTAGACCTCAATTGACTCGGAACATGGCAAAAACAGATGGAACCAAACACTCTTAAGTGTTTAATTCCAGGTTTTCTCCCACTAAAGGCTTCGAAAGAAGTTGTGGTATTTAAAGCCTTTGTAGGACATCTGTTTTGAATGTAAACAGCAGTATTCACTGCCTCTCCCCAGAACATGTAAGGTAGTTTCTTCTCATTCATCATTGCCTTGCTCATTTCCACTATTGTCCTATTCTTTCTCTCAGCAACTCCATTTTGCTGAGGTGAATAGGTCACGGTTAGTTGTCTTTCCAACCCGATTTCATCACAAAACTGCAGAAATTCAGTGGAGGTGTATTCTCCACCTCTGTCACTTCTAAGTTTCTTGATTTTGTAGCCACTTTGCAGTTCCACCATGGCTTTAAACTTCTTGAAAATATTAAACACTTATGACTTAAATTTCATGAAATACACCCAGCACATTCTAGTGCAGTCATCAATGAAAGTCAAGAAATATTTATTTCCCCCTATTGTTGTAGTTTGCATAGGTCCACAGATATCTGAATGCACCAGCTCCAGTGGCACACTTGCTCTCCATGTTTTCTCTTTACCAAAAGCTTCTCTGTGTGCTTTGCCAATTTCACACCCTTGACATATTCTCTCTGCATTGCCAATTTCAGGTAATCCATAGACCAGCTCTTGTTGTTGTAACAGCCTCAGACTCTGCAGATTCAAATGACCAAACCTCCTATGCCAACACCAAGTGGATTCTTCAACGGTTGCCTTTATAGCTATAGAATTTCCATACTTTAGTGAGAGCGGAAAACATCTATTTCCTATCATGGAAACTTTTGCCACTAAGTTTTCCATGGAGCTGTCATCAAATATCTCCACCATGGAATTTCCAAAATCCAGATAATAGCCATGTTCTACCATCTTACCCACACTAAGCAAGTTCTCATCCAACCCTGGTACAAGCATGACTTCTTTAATGTATCTCGGGCCAGATTTTGTGTTAATAACTAGAGTACCTTTCCCAGTTGCTTGTACCAAATCTCCAGTGCCCATTTTTACTTTTGCAGTGACCTTGGTGTCAATATTGACTAGAAGGGATGCTTGTGAAGTCATGTGGTTGCTACATGCACTATCCACATACCACACACCATTATTTTTCACTATTGCAGCAGCATGACAAGCATAGAACATATTGCCTTCTTCCTCCTTGTGTGACGCATAGTTAGCAGCTTGATCTGGTTTTCCTTTGCAGTCTTTGGCTATATGACCAAACCTATCACATTTACAACACTTAGGTTTGCCTTTGAACCAGCAAGCACCATAGTGCAATTTGTCACAAGTTTTACAAGGAACCTTGGCTCCTTCAGTTTGATTTTCCTTCTTGGAACTGTTTTCAGACTTAGTATCCCATTTCTTCCCTTTCTGAGATTTCCAATTCTTCTTAGACTTAGAACTACCAACTTGTCCTGTGTTTGATTGGTCTCTAGACCCTACATTTAGGCTGTAAAATGCCTTTTCTGTCACTCTCTCATTATACCTTAGTAGGCGTTGTTCATGGGATTTTAGGGAGCCTATAACCTCCTGGACTTCTATGGATTCTGTATCCTTGGTTTTCTCTATAACTTCTGCAATGGAATCATATTCTCTGGACAAACTGATCAACAGTTTCTGAACAATCCTCTGTTTAGTTAACTCTTCACCATATGCCTTCATTTGATTTACCAACTTAAGCAATTTAGTGACATACCCAGATAAAGATTCATCATCATGCATGCGAGTGTATTCAAATTCTCTTCTAAGAGCTTGAAGTTTCACAGATCTTACCTTATTGTCTCCTCTGAATTCTTGCTGCAGAATTTCCCATGCTTCCTTGGCTGATTCCTTCAAAGCAATTCTGGGAAAAATATCATCAAAAACTGCATTCTGGATCAAACCCAATGCCTTAGCATCTTTTGCAATATTTTCTTCCAAAGTGAGTTTCTGAGCTGTGGTCAAAGCTTCACCATCTTCCTTCTTCACTGGTTCGAAAACCTGTTTCCACCATATCCCAGAGTTTGTGGGACTTGATGTTAGGATTTTGGCTCGTCAAATATGTCCTAGTTGGTTTAGGATTGTTTTAGGAAAATTAGAGGTATACAAATTCTTTCCTAATCCCTCTAGGACAAGAATTGGTATACCTCTAATTTTCCTAAAACAATCCTAAACCAACTAGGACATATTTGACGAGCCAAAATCCTAACAATCTCCACCTTGGTGAGTCAAACCAAGTCTTGATCGTTGCACCCCAGAGTATCTTTGAACCTCCTTGAAGCAGCTCTGGAAATCTTCAAGAGTCTTCACCTTGGCAATCTTCTTCTTGCCTCATTGCACCTCAAGTGAGGAGGTGCTCCACTTTAATCAATCAACGAGATTGATCAAGTTCAAGCAATGCTTGAACTTCTTGGCCGGCACTATCTTTGTAAGGAAATCTGCGGCATTGTCATCCGTATGAATCTTTTCAATCCAAATCTCCTTAGACTCCACCCAATTTCTGATTCTGTGATATCTTGCTTCAATGTGCTTTGATCTTCCAGAAAAAACTTGATTCTTTGCCAAGTGAATGGCACTTTGACTATCACATTTCAGCTTCACAAAATCTTGGGTGATTCCCATTTGACTTACCAAGCCATTAAGCCAAATTGCTTCCTTTCCAGCTTCGGCCAATGCCATATACTCTGCCTCTGTGGTCGACAAAGCTGTAATTGGTTGCAGTAGTGCCCTCCAACTGATCGGTCCTCCTGCGCATGTAAACACATAACCAGAAGTTGACCTTCTCTTGTCCAAGTCCCCTGCATAATCAGCATCCACATATCCCAACACCCTTGCATTTTCTTTTTGCTTCTCAAACATAATCCTTTGTCGCCAAGAACCCTTCAAATAACGCAAAATCCACTTGACTGCATCCCAATGTTGCTTTCCTGGATTTCCCATGTATCTGGAAACGACACTGATTGCTTGAGCTATGTCTGGACGTGTGCATACCATTGCATACATAAGGCAGCCCACGACATTAGCATAAGGAACCTTCTCCATTACTTGCTGCTCTTCCTCGGACTTAGGACACTGTTGCCCACTTAACTTGAAGTGAGCTGCCAAAGGAGTCGAAACTGCCTTTGCTTCTTGCATGTTGAACTTCTCAAGAACCTTCTGAATATACTTGGCTTGTGATATCCAGATCCTTCCAGCGGTCCTATCTCTCTGAATCTCCATGCCAAGGATTTTCTGTGCTGCACCTAGATCCTTCATGTCGAACTCCTCGCTCAACATCTTCTTCAAGTCTTGAATTCTAGACTTGTCTTGACAAGCGATTAGCATGTCATCCACATATAACAACAGCAATATGACCATCCCATCTTGGAACACATGATAGTACACACAACAGTCATATAAACATCTTCTAAAATTGATTTTCAGCATGAAGTAATCGAACCTCTTGTACCACTGTCTTGGAGACTGTTTCAGGCCATACAAGGACTTCTTTAGCTGACATACTAGGTTTTCTTTCCCATATTCAACAAACCCTTCTGGTTGAGCCATGAAAATTGTCTCCTCTAGATCCCCATGAAGAAACGCTGTCTTCACATCCATCTGCTCAATCTCCATGTCATGCTGAGTTGCCATTGCTAAAAGCAATCTGATAGAAGTATGCTTAACTACGGGTGAAAAGATCTCATCATAATCCACTCCTTCCTTTTGTGAGTACCCTTTAGCCACGAGCCTTGCTTTGAATCTCACGGCATCTTGTTCATGTAGTCCTTCCTTTTTCCTAAATACCCACTTGCATCCAACTAGCTTTCTGTCTTTGGGCTTAGGAACCAACTCCCAAACAGAGTTCTTGTAAAGAGACTCCATTTCTTCTGTCATAGCACTTATCCAACTATCTCGCTCATCACTTGCTATAGCTTCTCGATAAGTAGTTGGATCTCCTTGACTAATGTTGAGAGCATAATTAACTTCGTCTTGGTCAAACCCAAACCTGTCAGGTTTCTTCTTATTCCGATTAGGTTTGTCCAGTGCTATGCATCTCTGGAATGCAGGTGGATTGTTGGTTGGAGTTCTAACCCTTTGGGATGTCTGGCGGATTAGAGTGCCTTCAATCTGCCCTATTTCTTGCTCCACCTGATTCCTAACTGGTGAACGACGCTGATGCTCATCTTCTTCCTCAAAACCATCAGATTCGGCATCTTGCTCAATTTGCTCCACCTGAGCTTCTTCGTCTGAACTGATTAACGGAATCTTTGTTGCTTCAATTTCAGCATCGTCTTTCTTCTCCCTACTGCTCTCGACTTTATTCAGAGGCATGGTTGTCTCATTAAAGACAACATCTCGGCTGACAACCTTTTTCCTGTTGTTGATATCCCAAAGCTTGAAACCCTTCACTCCTTTCTCAAAACCTAAGAATATGCAATGTGTAGACTTTGGTTTGAGCTTGGACCTTTCATCGCTTGGAATATGTGCATAAGCACTACAGCCGAATACCCTGAGCTTGGAATAGTCCACTGGCTTCCCAGACCATACCTCTTCTGCACTCTTAAAACCAAGAACTGTAGATGGTGATCTGTTAATCAAATAACTTGCATGATTAACAGCTTCTGCCCAAAAACTATCAGGCAATCCTGCATGAAATCGCATGCTCCTCTCTCTCTCTCTCCATGAGAGTTCGGTTCATCCTCTCAGCAACTCCATTTTGTTGGGGATTCTTCTTTACTGTGAAGTGCCTTGTGATGCCTTCTTCCTTGCAGTAATCAGTAAACTCATTACTTGTATATTCACCTCCATTGTCACTTCTCAGGTACTTGATCTTTCTTCCAGTTTGATTCTCGGTTTCTGTTTTCCATTCCTTGAACTTTGCAAAAACCTCGGATTTCTGCTTCATGAAATAAACCCAAACCTTCCTAGAAAAATCATCCATGAAAGTAACAAAATACCTGGCTCCACCATTTGATTTGGTTGGTGCAGGGCCCCAAACATCTGAGTGAATATAGCTGAGTTGCTCCTTGCTTCGGTTATCTGCACTGCTACTCGTGAATGATACCTTCCTTTGCTTTCCAAGAACACAATATTCACAAAAGTCCAGTTTGCAAGATGACACGCCTTCCAATAAGCCTTGCTTGTGTAATTCTTGCAACCCTTTCTGGCTTATGTGCCCGAGCCTATGATGCCAGAGTTCAGTCTTGTCTTCTATACCTTGATTTACAGAAACAGCTGCTCCCCCAACTATAGTGGTCCCAATTAACTTATACAGCTTATTGGGTTGTAGGTCACCCCGCATTACCACCAGTGATCCTTTGGCTACCCTGAGTCTTCCCTTTTTAGACTCGTACTCATAGCCGGCCTCATCTAAAGTACCCAAGGAAATCAAATTCTTTCTTAGTCTAGGGACATATCTAACGTTCCCCAAAACTCGTATCATCCCATCAAACATTCTGATTTGAACAGTGCCGATTCCTTTTACAGGACATGAAGAATCGTCCCCCATTAAAACTTCCCCGCTGCTGACTTCTTTGTAAGTATCGAACCATTCTCTTACTGCACACATATGAAAAGTGCATCCGGTATCCAAAATCCAATTTGTGAAAGCCTTGGAGCCTGATGTTACTGAAAGAAGCTCCCCGTCACTCTCATGCTCGGTGACTGCACTAGCTGAACCCGAGCTTCCTTCCCTCTTGGCTTTCTTCTCTTTCCAAATCTTGCAGTTCCTCTTCCAATGATCGGCTGAACCACATTCGAAGCAACCTTCCTTCTTTTCCTTTTTCTTCTTGGATTTTGACCTACCTCTGTTGCCTGTTTTTCTCTTCCTTTGTCTTTTCCCGCCCCCTCTCCTTGCCTTTGGCATAAAGGCCTTGAGAGCTTTCAGTTATATCATCTAGTTTAGCATATGACTGAAGAGCTTGAATCACATCTTCAAGCTTCAGGGACTCTTTTCCAAACATTAGAGTTGTTCGAAAGTGCTTGAAAGACGAAGGTAGAGACCTCAGCAAGATGATAGCCATATCATCATCTTTGTAAGTTTCTTCGACCTTCTGAAGATTAGTTATGCAATTTTGAAACCTGCATACGTGATCTTCAATATCACCTCCTTCTTCCAGTCGAAGTCCGAATAGTTCATCCTTTAGAAAAAGTTTATTGGACACGGTTTTGCCCATATAAACATTCTCCAACTTTTCCCATGCTTCTTGGGCAGTCATCTTTTCTGTGATGTGTGACCGAACTGATCTTGTGAGATGGATCTCGATGGAACTCTTGGCTTTCTTAAGAACCTTAGTCCATGCTGTGTCTGTCATGCCTGTTGGCTTCTCACCGCTGAGTGCATCATCCAAATCTTGCTGTATCAGTACGTTCTTCATCATCCTTTGCCAATCCGTGAAGTCATCCTTGCCGTCAAAGGGCTTTAACGCAGGTCCTAGATCCGCATTCATCTTCCCTTTAGACATCGTAGAACCCCTTAACCTAGGCTCTCTGATACCACTTGTTAAATAACTTGCCTTCTAGATCTTGTTCTTTGATGTAACCGACGACAATAGACTAAACTAGCAAATATTAAAACACTTGAAGATCGTACACATCTTGATTCTCCAGAAATCATAATTGCTGCCATTGAAAATGGGAGCACGTAGCTCTCCTACTCCAGATCCAGCCATGTGAGACCAGAAATAGAGAAACTAAGAGGAGAATTGCTACTTCTGCACAACGCCCAGTCTCATATCTGAACCTGCGCTCTTGATACCATGTTGGAGTTTTGATAGTGTATCAGTTTTCTTGTAGAGAAAGTATTTGAAGAAATGCAGCAGAGAAAAATAGAGATGGTGCGTGAGAGAGAGAAAGAATGTTACTCAGCTCCAATAGCAATAGAATGCAACGTACACACACATTTCATTTCTAACAGAACATTCCTTTTGTACAACAGAGAATATGATTTCAGTCATACAATTTAGTGTCAGCAATATGAGCTGCACACTTGGCATGAGCTAGGACCTATGAGACCTACACTCTAGAAGGAAATCTAAGCCTTACACCTGTCAGCTAACAAACTTAAACCAATAACTAATTTATATTTCAACAACAATTACCAGAGAAAAAACACCAAAAAACTATAAAAGCAACCTACAAACTCTCATGGATTTAACAAGAGAATGAAAAGATCATATCTAAATATTCATTTGGATGGTTAGTGAGTACTTCCTGATCCTCATCAAAGGCACTTGTTAGGTACTAATCCTCTACTGCTGGGCTCGAAGTTAGAAGCCATCTACCATTATGGCAATTGGAAAACGCATCCGTGAGACAAGCAACAAGAAATTTGCATCTTTTGGAAGGATTTGGTGGCTCTTCTTCATGAAAAAAAAAAAAGTCAAACAATATGGGGTAAAATATTTTCTGATATATTTTCATTCTTCAAAAAAAGTTATTTATAATACAAGTGTGTAAACCCTAGTAGGGTTATACAAGGAAAAAAATAAACTCATAATTACACAAGATTTGTACAAAAGAGAAAGAAATAAAATCCTAATAGAATAGGAAATAAATCTCATAATCAAACTCGAATCTCGCCAACACTCCCCCTCAAGTTGGAACAAAGATGTCACGCATGCCCAACTTGTCAAGGAAGTTGAGAAAGATGGTAGTAAACATAACTTTCGTAAGAATATTTCCTAGAATATTTGCTAGTTGATACTCGGATGATATGAACGGAAACAAATAATCTCAGCATCTAAACTTCTGTTTAATAAAATGTCAATCAACTGCCACATGCTTTGTACAATCATGTTGCACAGGGTTATGAGTAATTGCAATTCCAGCTTTATTATCATTAAAAAAATCCATGGGTTTCTGGGGCTCAATCCCAAGATCTCCCAACAATCTTCTCAACCATAGTAGCTCGCACACACCTTAAGCCATCCCACAATACTCGGCTTCAATACTAGACTGGGACACCACTTTTTGCTTTTTACTCCTCCAAATAACAATTACCACCAATAAATGTGAAATACCCAGACGTAGAACGTCTATTAGTGATTGAACCAGCCTAATCGACATATGTATACTCTTCCACATCCACATGACCATACTTGGAAAACATTAACCCCTTTCCAAAAGTTACTTTCAAATACCTCAATATACGCATTACAACACCCATATGATCTTCACTAGGAGAATGCATACACTAACTCACTTCACTCACTACATATGCTATATCAGGACGTGTATGAGCTAAATAAATCAATTTCCCCACAAGCTGTTGATAACGCTCCTTATCAGTAGGAACTTAATTAGGATATAACCTCAACTTATGATTTTGTTCATTAGTGGTATCAATTGGTTTACAATCCAACATTCCAGTCTCTGCAAGTAAATCCAAAACATATTTCCTTTGGGACAAAAAAATACCATGCTTAAATATGGAAACTTCAATCCCAAGAAAGTATTTCAAGTCACCCAATGACCTCATCTCAAACTCGAAAGCCAGATACTTCTGAAGATTTTGCATTTCTGCCTGATCATTTCCAGTCACAATCATATCATCAACATAAATAATTAAAGTTGTCAATTTGCCTTTATGACGCTTTTGAAACAAAGTATAGTCCGAGTTACTCTGTACATACCCAAATTTCTTCATCGACGCAGCAAACCTCCCAAACCATGCTCTTGGAGACTGCTTTAATCTATATAAGGATTTCTGCAGCTTACACACAACACCCTTCTTGGAGGTTACAGGAATAAAAAAAGGAATATCCATGTATAATTCTTCCTTGCGATCACCATGTAGAAACAAAATTTTGACATCAAACTGCAACAAGGGTAAGTCACGATTAGCACCCAAGGACAAGAGTCCATGCATAGTATTGAACTTTGCAAGTGGAGGAAGGGTCTCCAAGTAATCTACTTCATAGGTCTGAGTATAACTTTTTGCTACCAATCTAGCATTGTAACGGTCAGTGGAACCGTCAACCTTATAACTCAAAGTAAACCCCCATATGCACTCAACAGCTTTCTTCCCTCTTAGCAAAGGGACAAAATCCCAAGTTTCATTCTTATTCAAAGCTTCCATTTCAACATTCATGGCATCCACAAATTTAGGGTCAGAAAGAGCATCATGTAGCTTAGTTGACACACATATACTAGATAATTGACATAAATATGATGCATATGGCTTAGATAAACAATGAATTGACACATAATTTTAACAACCCGGTCCTAAATAAATTATTAATTATTAATTTATTCAGATAAAATACCCTTTTGTCCATAGAATATTTTATTAGGTTTCAAGTTGACTTTTTGATCGGAAAGGAATTTGGGAATTTCAATTGCATTGTTGCATAGAGCACGGTGAGATGAGTCCGTAGACACATAGTGGGCTCGAATCGGAGTTGTAACGAAGAAGTTACGAGCAAAACATCACCAGTGGCAAAATCATAAATATTTCGAAAAGGGTTTGATAAAAATATGTTTCTCTCTCTCTCTCTCTCTCTCTCTCTCTCCCTCTCTCTTTCTTCGAAACTCCGACCACCGGTCACGGCTGCGAACGGGACCAGTGCCAAAAGGACCGGCTCAGCCCCAGCGTCATGACCCGGCCCTTCCCCGACATCGGCCGCAGCTCCAGCCGCCGAAAAATGTGGTTTTTAAGCCGGTTTTCGTTCGAACTTCGCCGGCTTCGATCTCTCTCCTCCGGCCACCATTTCTAACGAGTGAGGTATGCTTTCTCACCTATTTTTCATGATCTAGCTGATGCTTGGAAAGGATTTTGTTAATTTTGAGTGTGGATGGTTTGATTTACGAATTGAAATTCGGCCTATTTTGGGATTGCGATTCTGGCCACTTCCAGTCAGTTCTTGGGACAGGTCCAAGAACAAAAGTGGTTCCAAATAGGGTATTTTACCTAGGGTAGGAAGCTGGGTTTCCAGTTTTGAGGATTTCCGGTTGTCGGAATTTGATCAAGCCACCTACGCACTGCCGGCGCGTGTGGCGGAGTGTTGGCCACTTTTTGGCCTGTCTTTGAGTCCTAAAATCATCCTCATGTTGTCCCAAGCATGACAGTATGCTCGGATATGAATTCGGATATCGTTTGATCATCGATCAGATATCGCATATTGTGCGTTATCCGGGTTCGATAGGTTTGAACTGTTGGATCGCCGTGAATTTAATATATGTCAATTTGGACATCCTTAGGATCGTGTAGGATTCGACGGATCGTAAAACGGAGTCGCGAATACTCCGAAAATGCCAACCCTAGGATTAGGATTACAGTAACCGTCCGATAGTGCAATCATGAGCAATCCGACCGTCCGATCTGGACCAAACTTACAGGACGTGTATCCTAAACCTTGTGGAACCTATAGGAACTTTCGAATAGTAAAATGGAGGTCGTGGGCCCTATGGGTCCGTTTGACAAAGTTTGGTTAGTGTGACCCTTGGTTGACTGTGAGTCTTCTGAGGTAGTTTTACCTTTCTATGAGGATTATAGTGACCCTAGTGATAGGTCTTGAGCGTTGTTGAGTTATGTTGATTATGTGGGATTAGGATATAAATTTATTGTTTTAAATTGGGGGATTATCGGATGTTATGTTGTGGTTGAGGTTTATGCTATTTTGGAAATTAATATATATATATATATTATAAAGATATAAAGATTTTTTATTACACTGTATGTACCATCCTATGATTGTGAGGTTTTACGTGGCGTAGGATTTTTCGGCGTGAGGACAGACCCTATACATGGCGTTGGATGTTCCGGCGTATGGGGAGATTATGTGATTGTTAGTTCCCACGTGGCGTAGGATTTTCCGGCGTTAGGACAGACCCCATATGTGGCGTTGGATGTTCCGGCATATGAGGAGATTATTTAACATGAGATGATAGGTCACATGTGGCATAGGATTTTCCAGCATGTTCACATACCCCATATGTGGCGTTGGATGTTCTAGCGTATGGGGAGATTATGTAATATGAGATGATAGGTCACATGTGGCGTAGGATTTTCCAGCATGTTGACAAACTCTATACGTGGCGTTGGATGTTCCAGCGTATGGGGAGATTATGTAATATGAGATTATAGGTCACACGTGGCGTAGGATTTTCCGGCGTCTTGACAGACCCCATACGTGGCGTTGGATGTTCCGGCGTATGGGGAGATTATGTGATTGTTAGGTCCCACGTGGCGTTAGGATTTTTCGGCATGAGGACAGACCCCATACGTGGCGTTGGATGTTCTAGCGTATGGGGAGATTATGTAACATGAGATGATAGGTCACACGTGGCGTAGGATTTTCAGGCGTGTTGACAGACCCCATACGTGGCGTTGGATGTTCCGACGTATGGGGAGATTATGTGATTGTCATGTCTCACGTGGCGTAGGATTTTCCGGTGTTGAGACAGACCCCATACGTGGCGTTGAATGTTCCAGTGTATGGGGAGATTATGTAACATGAGATGATAGGTCACACATGGCGTAGGATTTTTCGACGTGTTGACAGACCCCATACGTGGCGTTGGATGTTCCGGCGTATGAGGAGATTATGTAACATGAGATGATAGGTCACACGTGGCGTAGGATTTTTCGGCGTGTTGACAAACCCTATACGTGGCATTGGATGTTCTAGCGTATGGGGAGATTATGTGATTGTCAGGTCTCACGTGGCTTAGGATTTTCCGGCGTTGAGAGACCCCAAAAAAAAAAAAAAAAAAAAAAAAAAAAAAAAAAAAAAAAAAAAAAAAAAAAAAAAAAAAAAAAAAAAAAAAAAAAAAAAAAAAAAAAAAAAAAAAAAAAAAAAAAAAAAAAAAAAAAAAAAAAAAAAAAAAAAAAAAAAAAAAAAAAAAAAAAAAAAAAAAAAAAAAAAAAAAAAAAAAAAAAAAAAAAAAAAAAAAAAAAAAAAAAAAAAAAAAAAAAAAAAAAAAAAAAAAAAAAAAAAAAAAAAAAAAAAAAAAAAAAAAAAAAAAAAAAAAAAAAAAAAAAAAAAAAAAAAAAAAAAAAAAAAAAAAAAAAAAAAAAAAAAAAAAAAAAAAAAAAAAAAAAAAAAAAAAAAAAAAAAAAAAAAAAAAAAAAAAAAAAAAAAAAAAACTCAGCCACATATAATAACTTTTTGTTCTTATTATTTGCTTTTTTGTTATTACATTGCCATTGGTGAGATCCACATTCATTTGTGGCATTAACATAAAAACTAAAACTCAATCATGAAAGGGGTACCAAACCGACACTAAATAGAAAATAGAGCAATTTACTTATGAGTATTGTATTATTTGTTACATTACATCCCAACCGAGCATCTTATGCCTCTCAATCCATTTATATTAAAGAGATTGTATAGAGAGATGGTACAAAATAGTTTTATTATTTTCTTCTCAATACAAAACAAATCTTTTTTCATTTTCACCGAGAAGGGACACTTAAAGGAATAGGGCTTTGGTTTTGTTCTAAAACGTCAAGTAGTCTGACTATTGTAGTTAAATTAAATAAAAATTAGTTAGACTATGAAAATGCATTTCTGCCACTCGAAAATAATTCATTAGTTAGATAATTATACGATTAAATAATAAATAAACCTAAAACTAATTTTATAAGAAGTATTTCTGCTCATAAACACTCTTTTCTAGAAGCACTTTCGTAATAACAGGCTGGTACATAGCACAAAAGTTTTTACCTAATCCAAGGCAAAACAATATAGAAAGCGAAAAAGTAAGCTAGACTTATTATCAAGAGACAATGAGATGAGATCATGACATGACCTTCTAAGGAAGATGAATCAAACCTAGGCAGCTGTAAACTAAATATTGTGGTTATATCAGATGAAAAGAAAAAAAGATCATATCTTGTGTTCGTTCTATTTATTAACTCTCATATTTTTTATGGTAAAGCATAGATTCCATAATTTCTTGGCAGCATATAGTTTTAATTTTCCGACCTAGTCATGGAGTAGCACTATACTTAACCTATTTGATAAAATCCATACCTGTGGTATACCACATCACTTTTCAAATCTTAAGTTTTAAATAAACTTAAGTTGGAAGAGGGAAGTCAATTTTGGATAATCTGGATTGGATTTTTTTGGCTCTTTTACTTGTTCTTGAGAGTGCCTGGTTCCAGCTATCATTCTTATTATTTTCTATATGAGAGAGAGTGAGAGAGAGAGCCCACTAGGTCGACTAATGTGACACTTGAAGTGGACATTCACCTTTGATAATTGATAGTGTATATAGCTCCACTCCAAGTCCAAAATAAAAATAAAAAATTGTTGGATTTTTACTCTTGAGGACGAGACACTACCATATTATTATATATATACATGCACGATATATATACTTTGTACAAATTGGGTATGTGTATAATGACAAGATTCTCCTCTCTCTCTCTCTCTCTCTCTCTCTCTCTCTCTCCTCCCTTGAAAGAAGAGTTTGCGATCCACCACATACCAAAAAGGTCTCAAATCTTTTTGAAGAGATTGACATCAGCTTTCCTTTTTCTGTCAAACTAAATCACTCCCTAATCAATCTACTTGCTAGCTAGCAGCCCTAGCAACCATACATATGCGCAAGTGAAACCCCACAACCCCTCAACCAAAATTGCACAACCCATCAATTATCATCATATCCTTTTACTTTCGTGACAAAAAAAAAAAAAAAAAAAAAATCAAAAAAAGACTATAACCAGATCAGATTGCGATCTTCAGCTTCCGAAAAAGTTATATCTTATCAATTCCCACCGCTATTATCATTTACTAGAATGTGCATATTGACCAGATGCCAAACTAGTTATAAGTGTTCGTAAGCATTTGACTAGAATTAATCATTTTGTGCTAACATTCTCCCTCTTATTATTGGATGTGTATGGCCGTTGATTGAGAAAAACTTTCCTATCACTGATTGTATACAATTATATTATATCTCAAGATTTTTTCTTGTTGATAATTAATTTTAAAGATCCAAGCGTCACCCCACTCAAAACCAACGTCTCAAATTTTTTTACTGTTGTCGTACAAGATTTGACACAGACTTAGCTCAACAAGTTTACAACTTAAAAGAAAGCAGCTTTTAACAATCATCCACTCATTGTGTTCCCAACCTGGAGTGGGGTCATTACCCCTGCTTCAAGTTGATCTTGAACACTGTGATCATTGAACCTTGCTTGTTAATTGAACCTAGGAAAGAGCAGGGAGACCACAAGTTAAAAAATCATATTGATTTTTTGACTGATTTTTTATCTTGTGCTTTCTATATATGTAACGTGAATGTGAAACTTTCATGTATCCCAGAGAACATGTACAATATTTCTATATATATCAAGACAAGGAAGATGTTGCAGATTTAAGAACCAAACCCATGATCTATCATTAATGCGCATGTCAACGCATGACGTGTCTCAAAGATGAACGTCTGTACGTATATGTATGTATGTATGTATGTTTGTATGTTTGTATGTCAAAAGTCGTAAGTCTGTGGGCCCAAATCAAAACCAGACGACTCCTAGTTTGTGAGAAACCACCTAGAAGGGCAGCCCCAGTTTGCTGCAATTTTCATGGACTTTAAATAACTTGTTTTTGTTTTGGATTCAGATAAGTTCAACTTTTTGAGGGGTGGGATGGGGTCATCGGTCATCCACTATATAGTATCATAACCCCCCCTTGCTCAGAACAAGTCAATTTTGCTATATTATTATTATTATTATGCATTCCTGGATTCAAACTTAATTAATGATTATGATGTATCTCTCCTGTTTGTTGCATATATATTTGTTTATTCTTGAATGAGACAGAAGGGTATGGGATGAGATAGGATGAGAGACAAAAACAGTACCACTTGTTCCTCGCCCATGCATGTTTCATTTGGTATTTTGCACCTTTAGGGGTGGAAACCACTCCTAATTAATAACAACCTTCTCATGATGTTGTCAAATACAAACTATAAATTATATGGCTAATTGCACAAAATCACTCAAATTTTAGGGTTCATTTTTAATTTGTGCCCGATTATTTGAAGATCCTACAAACTCCTATACTTTAACTCACGATCGAAAATCTACTTATGTGGGATATGAGTTTGGGTACATAGTTTGGGGGTTTTATGAATGTGAGCTCATATGTAAGTTTTTCTTGAGTTCATGTATGAGTTGGTGAATCTTTACCCAACATTTCAAATTTTAGGGTCATCTATATTTCATGACTTTGCTCAAAGATCATCACTTGAAAAAATATTAAAAAAAACCATATATAAAATTATTAGTTGATCTAAAGGGTGAAAATGAATACAATCTAGAAGATAAAAATAAAATTGTTAATGAATCTGCGATTTGGCTGATTTTTCACATGGATAATACTTGAAGGAAAACTTTAGAAGTAGACGATTTTGATCATTGGCTTGCAAGCCGGATATATGATGATCATTGGAAGATAATTGTGCATAGTCCCCTTTGCACGAAATCTCATATGACTCTTTGGATCACTTGATATTGAGCACCACACAAGGTCGTTTGAACTCTAACAATTCTTTGTCATTTTATTTATTTATAAAGTGATAGTCTAAATTATGTTAAATTAAGTGAGAGGCATTTGAATATGAAGTAGACGCATTGTCATACCCAACTGATCTAACTTTTGTAAATTAAGTGAGAGGCATTTAAATATGAAGTAGACGCATTGTCATACCCAACTGATCTAACTCATTTATACAATATCTTTTGAAATGTTTACGACTTCGATTTTAAGATTTTAGCTTTAGGTTTTGAGTTGTTGCCCTAAATCCTATTCTACACCCTAGACCTAGAGTAATTTTCCAGACCCAAAAAGGCACCCTAGAGAATAGAGTACATGTACATAATCTAGAAAGTAAAAGGAAATCGATGTTCGAACAGCTGGAGACTCCGCAAAGCCGATTTCAGTCTAGGAAACTTTTGTACAAATATTCATATTATAATAATATAAATTCACATAATCGCTTTCTGTAGAAGTCATTCTGTGCTTTACAGATAAGGTGCGGCTAGCTGTTTTCAAAGTGTTCTTTGTCACAATTCAATTAAACTAAGTATTAAAATTCATTAATCAGAATGGTAAACAGAGTAAAAGCATCAACTGTCAACTCTAATAATTTATTCTTAAATATTTATATAATTAAATCAAACTAATTTATATATATAAACATGTTTTGACCTATGATCTTTAATTGGCGTGCGGACCCATGCATGCCACTGTAGACACGTGGTTGCATTTTACTCGAAGTACACATGCACGTACGTAATATGTACATGCGTAGAATAAAACATTAAACTAAACAAATTTTTTGCATAAACCCATGATGGATTGTACAAAAATACAAGTGGCATTAATTCGAGGAAGCTTGGACAAAGCCAGTTGTAATTTTGGAGTTTTGATCGATTCTCCTATTAAAAAAATTATATCTTACAATAATTTATCATCTTGACATTCTATATATTTATAAGTAATTTACTTAACAATTATTAATCATGGACTAACCAGTTTATTTAATTATTTGGTAGCTGCAGTTGACTTAATAGTAAAATGGACACGTGGGTCAGGCTTGGCCAGGGGTAGACCACAACTTGTAAAATGTAAGCTTGGGCTAAATATTCTAACATTTTAGTTAATTTATTGAGCTTCCAGTGATGTTTGCTAGTGATTTACGTAGTTGTTATAATTAAATTAAAAAATATATTAATGGTGTCAACGGGAGTCTAGTTCAGTGAAGAAATGGTTTTCACTTGTGGGTTAGTGAGCCTAGGATCGAGTGCACAATATTGGATCCCAGTAAATTGTCTTGACTCTTAAAAATAGTATGCTAAATTAAGTTTTAAAAATTCAATGTCAAATTTTAATAAAAATGGTGGAAGTATAGTTTATGCTGGCATGATTAAGCAACTAAGGACATGCACTTCCTGTATTTAGTAAAGACTTTGACTTTAGAAATTAGATATATAGTATATACACACACAAACAATACAGAAAAGAGAGTAAGAGATCACTTGAATTTTGACTTTAATACTGTCAACTGATAAATATGTATCAAATGTTTTGACAGAATTGATATATATATTAGATCTCCAAGACTCCAAAATTTCAAAATTCTTCAAGTTTTTTTTTTTTTTTTTTTTTTTTTTTTTTTTTTTTTTTTCTCTCTTTTTTTTGATTGATACAGTTGAACTTGGGTCTAACTTAATCTTAACTCATTTATTCTAATCTAATCCTAACTCAACCCCCGCTTTTTGTGACTAAAGTGACAAAAACTGGAGGTTCTGTTTGAAAAAAACAGAGAAAAAAAGGTGGTGATCCAAGTAATTTACTTCGTAATTAGTCCCCTTCAATTTTGTCTTTGTTGATGAGTAGGAATGAGAGAAAGTAAAGGACACACTAGTTATTAGACATTGTAATACTTTTGATTCCAATACAAATTCAGGCATATATATATAAGCAAGCACATTATCAAACTTCAACATATTCTTTTAATGACATTGGTTTAGTAAACCTGTCACATTAGTTCTATTCACTATCAACCACTTGAAACTTAGGCCCCGTTTGTTTGACAAACGGAATAATATAGTTGGAATAGGAATGCACTTCATTTCCTCACTCTCTTGGAGTTATTTCCTTTCTAATTTTAATACAGCCAATTAATGAAAGGGCATTTGCAGTGATTTTACATTCCAAGTAGTTCCATGGCATAGAAATACCACCCTCCGTATTTCCATTCAGGCTCTTAAGTGGAATCGACTCCAGTCAACTTAGGTAAATTCCTTAGTTATGTTTCATTCCAAAACTAGACAAACATCATATATGGATGTAATGGGACAAAATTGCTATTCTTGATCTAAAACTTTAAACTCCAAAAGATAGGATTGTTGGGTTCCATTAAAATCACCACATGCATTTTGATGTTTTACAGGGTTGGTCTTCCCCTCAACTTGAAGTAACTCCTTATAGGCATCTATTAGATATTGATGTATCGTATATCAACCCTTGTACAATGACTCTCTTTTCCATTCCAAAATGCACTCCTGCAGTAGCAGTGTTGTCACATTACATGGTCAGTGTAATAACAGTTTTGTCATAGTATGATCAATGTAATAACAGTAATCTTTTATATGTACCAATGTGTGAATTAGTGTGCCATGTTGTTTCAGTTTATTAGTGTGCCTTGTTGTTTCAGTTTCAACATAATAAACATTTCTTACCCATCAAGTGAAAATCTCCAGTATGCTTTCCAGTCTTTGCTTGCAGATGGCATCAAGAATGTTGTAAACCCCATAGTGCCAAAGATGCAATATCAAAGTCATTTTGTTTCATGGTCTCAATGCATAACATTTTCTCTCTTTCAAGCAGTTCATAGTTATTCTGCAGGTGCCTCCTCTTCAATTTCTCTTCCTCTAGTTGTGCTTGTAGCTTTTTGTTTTGTTCTTCTTGTTGTTCAAGCTTCTTCTTTAGTTTCTTTGTTCTTTTCTGTGCAGCTTCCTTTTCACTACAGATTTTTTCAATAAATGCATTTTTTTCCATGCACGATTGAATTGCAACCTGCATCTTATACTTGAGATCATCTGCTTTGTCTATCCAATAATCAACTGCTTCTTTGAGCTCATGGATGCGTTCATGGGTAGGCTTCATTTCATCCTTGTAGTACTCTGGTATTGACCCCACCATCTCCACAAAAATGTTTTGATACATTTTTTCTTGGCTGTCGGGTTGGGATTCAAGTTGTTGATGATGCTTCCCTAGCTGGACATTAACAGTGGTGTCAATTGTGGTCATCAATATCGTTTTAAAAGGAAAAAAAAAATATAGTTTTTTTATTTTCTTTCATAAAATAAGGGGAAAGTAGTTTGAATTTGTTTTTTGAGTTTTTATACCACTTTTTCATTCTGGTCAGTTGCAATGTCTTCATCCATGTTGTGTTCATTCATTTTTTCCTGCTGAATAAGAAAGAAAGAATTATTGAATTAAGGTTGTTGTACTTGGATATTTGAATGTTTTATCTTGTCTAATTGCTGAAAAGTATACCTTTTGCTCATGGATTTGAGATACTGTTTCCTCTGCATCTTTTTTCGCAGTTTCACCACTGGTAAACAGTTGTTGCTGAGCAATATCATTTTCCCCTTTGCAAGTATTCTGTTTTTTACCCTTGCACTGTACAAGCATTAACAATAGAATCAAGTTAGTCAATAAGATACCTTATTCAGATTAGTAGTAATCCAGCTATAAAACTCAAATCTATGTATCAAATCTAAATATTTGTGGAGTCTAGGTTAGCGTACCCAATCATACGAAGTTAATTTGGATTCTTGATCGTGAGCCGCTTGTTTATACCTTTTATGCAGTTGTTTAAGCAATTGGTCTTGATTCTCTTCATTATCTTCGTCATCTCCACCATCATTATGCTCGATATCACTCTCTTTGTCTTCATTGTCGTCTTCATTTTCAGCAATGGTTATCTGTTTTTAGTAATGGAGTCAGTAGCTACGATTGTGAATTAGTAGTGCCATAGTATATATATATATATATATATATTGGATGATGAGTACCTTAATGTGCTCATTTTTCAAATGAGTTAGCTTCACGTTCAGCTCTGGAAGGCTCCATCTCACAGCTGCCGGAGTCATGCCTTCTCTTCCAACAATAGGACTTATCAAATTACCTCTTTGACACAACCAATACTACAAACATGGTTTTCAATGTGACGTGTTAATACATAAGAAGAGAAAGCGATCATAGTATTAACAACCAATGAGATGTAGTTTCTTACCAGTATTAGAACAAGGCATCCACTGACACTTGGCTGTTTTTTCTTGTCTTTCTTGTTCTTGATTGCTTGGTCCAAACCAAAGTGCATGTAGTCCAGCACTCCCTTTGCCCAATTATATTGCTTCATATCTTTCACGGTATTTATTGTTGTCACATATGTCCAAGCTAGTGTACATCCTGAGTTGCAGAATAAGTTGCTGATGAATAACTCTAGAATTATGAACCTTGTGACATCCATTGGCCCTTGAGGTGTCTCATCCTCCAGTGCTTTGTCCAGAAACCTATCAATTTCAGTCTTGGTGATCTTTTCGACTTCCATGAAGTATTTGTTCACAAAATCCAGTTTCGGTCTAGTTGATGTTGTTGTGTTTGGCAGCTGCTTGCCATGGTTCGGCAACCCAAAGATGTCAGCCACATCTTGGCTTGTAATTGCATACTCATTGCCAGCTCCAAAGTTGAATTTTTTGGTCTCAGGGTTGTAGGTATTGATTAGTCTAAGAATGTCATAGTTAGACTTTTTGCAATTTGTGTTTGTTAGGTAGCCCTCTCTGTAAGCACTGATTAGGTTCCAAAATGGTGTCTTGGCTAGGTGTCTGAGGGCCTGTTTGTTTGCATTAAGTCTGTCTTTTATGTTGCTCAATGTGGTCTGAAAAGTGAGCATATTGCTTTTGATTTGAACATAGTTTGGATCGTCTAGTCTTTTTGATCTTGGCTTTGGTGTTTTGGATTTTGCTTTTGTGTTGGTTGTTTTCTTAGGTTTTATGCTGGCTTTGTTTGTGGTTTTGGTTGGTGATGATGTGGCTGTTTTTGTTTCCTTGGGCCTTTTCGCGGTTGTCACAGGTTCTTTGCCTGACATATCTGTAATTCAATGACACACCTTATTTTAAATAAACAAAGTTCTACTGCTATTGCAGTGCAACAGAAGTGCAATCTCATCCCAAAGCCTAATAAGCAAAATAGGCACATCTCATGTCATCATCTAATCAAACAGAGCAGTCTCGCAGTCTCAAACTCTCAGTCTGAGAGTGGCTTCGAGGCCTTGGAGGGAAGAAACTAACTAACTAACCAGAGAGAAGAGAGCTTCCTCCTCACTCTGGTTTTAGGCCTTTGAGCTTCAGATAATATAGTCATACTGATAAATAAATAAAAATATAAAAATATAGAAAGTGGGTATACCTTGAATCCTGAGGCTGTGGTGAATCTTTCTTGCAGATTCGGGTTTCTTTTACAAAACCCAAGTGTTATTGCATGTTAATAACTTGAATGGAAAAGAAACTTCAGAAAATAAGTAAATGGGTTTGAGTTCTGCTTTTACCTTTGTTATCGAACAAGATTGTAATCTTTTTTCAAGAAATGTTGTTTGTTTTTGTGATGCTTTTGCAGTTTCCTTTCGATTTTTTGGTGTTTATGTATGTAGGTTTTCGGGTGGTTATGGAGGATATCGATGGTTACAGAGGTGAGAGACAGAGTCTGGCAGGGTGCCTTGGGTAGCGTGTTTTTATTTATTTTGGGTTTGTTTTTTTGTAAAAGTGGGCTGGGCTTTTTAGAGTCTTTGTTTGGATTTTTCTTCGTGAAAATTGGGTTTGGATCTCTATGAATTCAGTGGCAGTGTTGTATTGTATGGGTGTTTGGAGTGTTCTTCTGTTTTTGAAAATGGGAATCGATGACTGCATCCTTGATGCACTTGCTAATACATCTGAGAATTCTTAATTGGATAGTTGTAAATCGCCCCTGAACAAAGGATTATCCCTAGTTTCGATATGGGATTTAGGGGCCGGAATCTCAAGCTCCCTTTATAATACTTAGTTTATTATTAGCGCGTTTTTGGACCTCGTAGACTTCGGCTTATTTAATGAATAAGCCCAACATATTTTTCTAATCCAAGGGCTAATATGTGTTTCACATCAACAGTGATTCAGAGATGTAAGGCTCGAGCCCTCAATTAATTAGTTTCCTCTTCCAAATGGTTTACAGGTTTCCTTTCTAATAGCTCCAACCTTGAGATGGTTTCATAATTGATTCTAACCTGGAAAACTTCTGAAAACTCTTTGATCAAAGATTTACAAGTAATATCAAGTAGCTGGCCATCGTCAGGATCAGGTAGACGTGCTCTTTCGCAGTCGGCAGATGACTGAAATTCCTTCAGCAAAACTCTAACACTTCCAACCTGATAGTCTCGTAACCCACAGGGCACTATCGAACGAAAAGGGGTTAAGTCAGTGGTGACATTCAACGCTAAGCCATGATACGTTATCCACTGTGATACTCGTATTCCGATGGCCGCCAGTTTCTGGTTTCCTGAAGAAAAGTTTGATACAAACATCAAAGGAAAATCCCAGTTTTATTTCCTCTACCAATATTCTTTTATCTTTATAAGACAACAGAATTAGGGAAATAAGAAATCACTGCTTTTAATGGAAGGTACGAGAGCAACCAAATGGCATGGCTATGAAAATATGCTAAGCTATTATTTTGAAAGGCGAAATATAATCTTTCATATAGGAAGCATACCATGCCAAACACCAGTGAGGCCCTCAAGCCGTGATGCCTTGATACAAAATGTCTCTGAAAGAGCACGGATGATCACCTCCTCAAGTGACCTGAGGTACCAATGAAGATCCATCTTGTGATTTCGGAGATTCATAATGGGGTACATAACTATCTACAGTGCAACACACACACAAGTTAGAGAAATTGAGCCTCTAAACAATTAAGTAATATGTTCAAATTGTGATTCATTCTTCACCACCAAGGACAAACATAAAAAGTTCAAATGATGAATTCATCCATTGACATAGTACCTGACCAGGACCATGATATGTAACCTCACCGCCACGTTCGGTTCGATAAATGTCGAAAAGTGAGTCCTTGACGTCAAAATTAAGGAACTGCTCTGAACTAGCAGTCCCCAAGGTATACACAGGACGATGCTGAAGAACAAACAGCGAGTCTGAGCAATCCTCATTCCTCTGAATCAAAGTTTTTTTCTCGTTAACTATGCTCTTCTGCCAAGCCCACGCCTGACCATATGGAACCTGCTGCTCGTACAGATTGAAGCACTCACACCTGCACAATTCTAAGTTGATCCTGTAAGTTGCACGGGACAATATGTGCATGTAAAAATACTTGACTAGGAAACTTACTCGTTTCTTGGCTCGAAGGTTAAAGAGGTCGACTGCGGAATTTTAACATTTGAGACTCTATTTGATCTTGATAAGATCCGCCGGGAGAGAGATCGAGGAGGTTTATGTTGATGCTTGCAGATTGGGTATGTTGGGATTGAGGCGACACAATGAGTTGCCGTGAGAGTCATATTTTATGATCCTTGTAATTTGGTGATAGCCCTTACTTCATGTTTGGTGGGCTGGCCTAGACTGGCATGGATTCGGCTTCGAGTATTGGACTGGGCTGGCTTGGACTGGCCTGGGTTTGAGTATTGTCAGTTGTTTGGTACAGCACTGAGCTGGCCTGGACTTCAATCTTTTACCTTTTTATTAATGTTTAGTATATTTTATCACCAGCTTCAATGACTCAATGAGAAGATCAGCTCTTGATTTGCTTGCCTTCGAAATGACAGGTCTCACACCAGGAAGCTTAGGCTGCCATAAAGAAAGATATGTACATCAATGGAAAGTAACAAAAAAAAAGCCAGAGATTATTCATTCATATGTTGCTGTATTGCATCCAAGAACACAAATTTTCAAAAGTAATAAAAATAAAGAAACATGAATGTTTAAAATGGTGATCATGATTCATGACAACAAATTAACTTCAAGAGTGAAAGGTTCAATACCATTAACATATTGGGTAAAATTTTATCAGGTAACTCAGATGAAGCATGGACATTCACATTATTAAGGCTAGATAATAGAAATTAGCAATTATCTGACTGAACTCAATGGAGCTACTAGCACATTCCCAACAATCAGATGCATTCCTTCCCAAAATTAAATCTATACAGCACTGGTTTACTACAAGCCATTAAAAACAGTTTAATTGGTACACAGAAGGTGATATACAAACACACTTGATGCACATTATATGAGCAAAAGACCCAATTGCACAAGACTTGGAAAGAGCCTCAAATGCACAAGACCAAGACTCAGCCTCAGCCTATACAATCATACTCTCCCAGAAGACACAATTGCCCAAAACCATGAAATTTCCCCAAAACCGTTCAACCTTCCAATGCATACCCAATAGAGAAAAAACTACCCAAAACAGAAACTACAACGAAACCCAATATTTTTGCCAATTATATTGACAAATTCCAAGTCAAAAAGGAAGAAAATTTCAGATCAGAGGAGGAAAAAGAACAGAGAACTGAAGAAGGCGATAATAAGAAAACACAGTTGTCTTGTGCTGTTTTTGAATTGTGAGAACTTAGTAGAATCAAACATGGAATTCTCAAAACTTAAATCAAACAGGCCCACAACAACCAACGAGTTAGATTCAGAAAAAAGTTTTAGAAAGTAAACTGAGAAGCAGCCAAATCAACGGGAGTTCAAATGTTAGAATTAAACATGGAAATCGAGAAAAATCAAATTCGAATGGATAAGAAAATGGAGAAAAAGAAGCTACCTTGCAACAATGGCTAAAATCACAGCAGACACAGAGGGGCGTTGAAACCATGGTGGAGAAAGCAAATAAGATAAAGAGATTCAGACAAGAGAAGCTCGCTCAAACTAGAGACGAAAGCAAAGGAGGCTGAGGGAGAGAAAAGCCCATGTCGATGCCAGCCCACCAAACAGGCCTTAAGGGATTGAGAATGGGAGTAGAAAAGGCAATGAAATGGAATTAAACAAAGAATAGAATCTAGTACATATAGTTTGGTTGGGAATTAGTTCCATTGTTGCTTTTGCATTTGTAATGGGATGTAATAAACTGTAAAATAAAAGTAAATAGGAAGAAGTACAAAACAAAAGCATACAATTATAAAAAGAATTGAAAGAGTTTAAAAACAAGGAAAAATCAATAAGTTATAAGCAAGTAATGGTGGATGTGGATCATAGTTTAAAAATAAAAAAAAGTAAATCCTATCAAATATGCTTGTGTTAAGATTTAAGAGGGACGGATCCTTGGCCCACTACCAGCAACATAGATATTGTCCTCAACTTAACCACTTGTTTAGCAGGCGTGAAGTTTTATACAAAAGGCCTCGATGTTATTAGGAACCATTTATTATATGGGACTTTCTATTTTGTTAAGTTTCCTATGTGGGACTTGAGTATTCTTCAACAGCTTGTACAATTTATTACTGACTCCAACTTCCAACAAAGATGAAGAACCAATGTATGGGAAATTAAATACTGGCATAATATTCAACAAATTAAACGAGGTCAAATTTATAGCATAAACCACCAAACAGTATTTGAGCTTCCACAGCCTAGTCTTTTTGAGAATATTTAAGTTTCCACAACTGTTAAATTTTTGTTTTCTTCTAGAAACAGTTCCTGGGAAATATCTTCTGTTATGTACATTGTACTTCAAATAAATTGTCATCTAGAACTAATTTGCAAGAAAAACAAGAATCTAGTGAGGTTGAACCAACTACAATATAACCAAGAAACATAATACATACCCAATTGCAGGGACGGAGCCAGGATTTGAAAATACAATGGGCTGAATTTCTAAGCTTTTCTTTTTACCCTGAATGAAAAGATTTGCATTTGTTTTTGTGGGCGGGGGATTGATATTTTCCAGATTTGCAGAACATATTGAAAGCATACAAATGAACCAAATTCAGAGGATTCTAAGCAAGTGGAAGCACTTAAAACTTGCAAGACACAAAATGAAATGAAAAAACAAAAAGAGAGAAGTAAAGCAAATCTTAGTGTCTCTGATTGAGCTACTCAGTAATAAACATACCAAAGCAACATCATCTCAATTTAAATTCAAGTTCAAGACTCTCTTGTGCATTTCTGGATCGTTTTGTTTAACCTTTTAATTGTTGAAAATTTGCCAATCTGTTGTCTGTTTCTATGTACTTCTTGCTTTCAAATTAGGTTGCCATAGTACATGTAACAGTGAATCACAATCTTCTAATAGTTGTTTCTACCCAATTATTCAGTTATTTTTAGGTGAGATACAGCTGCTTTAGAACATCAATTTTTTCTCACTAACCACCAATTCGTGTTTGTAAAGCAGCTCTAATTATCCCATAAACTAAAATCTTAATTGTATGTCCGTGAGCATAAATTCCATAAGAAAACCAACAAACCCCTTCATAATCCACATCCAAATCAGATGTGAATTTAAGAAAACAGAGGAACCAAATCTAATCATTCCCAAAACCAATAAACCGCAATGAAAAACTTGAGGAGCTGATGGACAAAATAATAATAATAATAATACTAATCAAACAACACCTTAAATTATACCCCAAAATTAAACCTGAGAAATAAAATGTTGATTTAAAAAATCTGCAACTAAAAGAAGATTAGACGATTACCTGGGGTCAGTGAAGCTCTGAGGCTTATAAGAAGCAGAATTGAAATTAGAAAATGAGAAGAACTAGGAGAGTGAACGGCACACGGGACAGAGATCATTGGCAGAGGTGGAGAATAGGAGGGAAAGGCTAACGTTCTGAAAACCTGGGTAGTGGCTGGAGTGAGCTGAGAGGATTTAGGCTTAAGAGTACATGAACACCTAGATTTTGTTTTTAAAGAAGTTAGCCTATAGGCTATAGCCCACCCAGCCTTGTGATTTCCGTCAGTGAACATCAAAAGGGAGAGAAACCCTCCTATGTTTGCCTATAAAAAGTAAATGCAAAATAGAAACTTAAACAAGCACACAAGTGAACAATGCAGACATGAGAGAGCCCGAGACTGGTTTCTACACCAATGATCCATAACCCAACAAATATTTAAGATGATAAATTTGGGTGCTTGAAAATTGATGGGGAGACTCAGAAAATGGAAGAATCAAATCAAATCAATAGACCCAGTACATAAAATGCAACCAAATCATTGCAATGTAAGAGTATCTATTCAATACCAAAACAAAGACCATATGCTGGAATAAACACAGAAACAAAATACATTTATTTACCTTTTCCGTTTGGAGTGATCGATGGTGGAGGATGTTGGGAATCGGGGAATCGGAGAATGGGAATGATGAGAGAGAGTTGGTCTCGATTTGTGCTCGCTCTGCGATTCTGCGAATGGGTTGGCGAAGAGAGCTGGAGGTCATGGACTATGGAGGCGTCGGCCGGGAGAAAGAGAGACCAAGCGAGCGACTGAGACTGGGGGAAAGACGTATTTGTCCTTGCTGGGGCAATTACTGTTTGTGAAAATTCCAAACACACTAACGCGCACGTCACGAAAAGCCGGTCAGCTATGTCGGCACCACAAATCGAAACCAGTTGGTCAAAACACTCTCTTCTTCTGCTATTGTGTCTCTCTAAATTGGGCTCCACAAAGATGAATTGCAGCTCTCAGAATTTTAATATGGGACTACAAGCTTTGCTTTCTTCAAGTCTCCACCTTTACCTTGGCCATACGTTCTTTGATTATTTTCCTTCAAGTCTCCACCTTTACTTTGCGGTATTTGACAGCTCATCGTTGTATTAATATTAATTACAAGTAGGTAGCTGGTCCTCAAGAATACCACGCCCAACAAACCCAACCAAATATGCGGGTTTGTGTTCCTAGGGCCTGGAACTTGTAGCTGCAGTCTCCACAAGTCAAGCTAATATTTCCGGCTTTTACACTTCCAACATTTATTGTTAACAGAGGATCCGTCTCAGAAAGTTCCTTTCTTTTTCTATATAAACTCCTTTCTCCACAAGGCTAACGTTCAGTAACCAAACAGAGGTATTTATGTCTCAAAGAAAAGCACTTGCTTATTAGCTATGGAAATTGAGAGAACAACAACTGGTTTCCTGGTTTGCAAATACTCGTCGTGGAGATCAGTCTTCTTCTGAGCCATCTTTAGCACCTAGTAGTAATCTTTACAAACCCTCCTTGATTTTCAGGGATGAGGGCTACTTCAGAATCAGCAGAGTGGATATTTTTAGCCACTAGCCTTGGCCTAGAGATCTTGTCAGCTGCTTGTGATCAGGCTTCCTCCCCAAGAACACCCCACTATGCCCTATCTGGGATGCTGTTGGCTATTGCAGCTCTGCTCATTTCCATCTGGGAGCTAATTTACAGAGGTAAAAAGGAAAGAATTGTGTTGAGGAGATGGGGAATGCTCTGGTGGTTTTATCATACACCACCTCCTCGACATACGCCTTTTGGTACTCTTCCTGACATTTATGGACTAGTTGCTGGCATCTCACAGTGCATTTGCTCTATAGTTCAGTATGTTTACTGCCTTCGGCATGCTAATAGTCCTTTCAAAGCATCCCTTTTGCCTGCCATATTTCTTATGTGCTTAGGTGGTTCAAAACTATGTAATAACCGACTGAACGCGAATACCACTGATAACAAGGATTTGCGGGAAAATTCTTCAAGGTAAGCACAAATTAAACTGCTTATCGGCTGCTTAATTAATTTGCATAATCTTTTTGCAGCTTTTTAGTCTTATTTATTTAGTTTTGAAAGGAGACGAGATGGAGATTTTAAGAAATAATTCAGGGGAATTTTAATGGATATCATATCACATGGGAATTCTACTGTATTTCAATCAGCACAAAATGTAAAGACTAAAGTGCGAGGGGATGGACAGAGAGAGTGGCTAATTAAGCTAGCTCTCTATCTCTAAAAAACAAGAGAGTCATAAAAGATTGCTTTCTTTTCTCTGTTTGCTTTTTCATCTGTATGCATGGCTTCCATTCCACTAATAGAAAATATTCTCTCAATCTGTTGGTTTGTAGCACGGAAGAAACTTCGTGGCATGCAATCAAGGTAGATCTACCATTTCTTTATGATCAGGAGGTAGAGGTACCTATTTAATTATGATTTAAAGTAAACTATTTCCAAAACATACATATATATATATATATATATGCACATATATAACCTTGAAAGATTAATTCAAAAGTTGTCATTTGTATATATATCATGGGAATAACTGAACAAAATAAAGGAAATTATATTTCCATCTTTCTCTGGATAGTAAAGTGAAATTTATCCTTTTATTTATTTATCGTATTTGTATGTATATCATATATATATATATATATATATATATATCTTTTGTTTCGGGAGAACATGATGTATCCAAAAGGCTTAAGTTATGAAGTCCCATATGAAGGCCTACGTGATGAAGATGATGAAGTCCCATATGTATCACAGAATGTCAATTTGGAGCTCACTTTGGGAAGGCCACATTGGGATTGAATACAATAAAGAAAAATTAGGTATTAGACATAATGACTAATTAGGATTTGAGACAGAATATTTTTGTTTGGGTTTTAATATCTATGAATGAAATTTTGTTTTGAATTAGGCTAAAGAGGAGGCCCATATGTGAAATTTTTTTATATAAAAAAAATAAAAAAATATTGACTGTTAATATAAATATTGCGTAACTGACAAAATACAACAAAAATAAGATTGGTGATGTGGTTTGTGAACAAGGCTTTCCTCCTATGAGGGTCAAGGTTTAAGTCTTTTCATGCACACTAAATTTCTTACCTTTTTAGGTTGAAGGCAACATAGAGCAGCATCGGCTGCAAGAGCAGCGGCGGCAACCGCAGGAGCAGCAGCAGCTGCTGGAGATGTGGCTGCGGGAGCAGCATGAGCAGTATGAGCAGTATGAGCAGCAAAAGCAGCGGCGGCGGCGAGAGCTGCAGCAGCTACAGGAGCAGCAGGAGCGGCTGCAGGAGCTTCAACGGCGGCTGGAGCTGGAGCAGGAGCAGGAGCAGCAGAAGTTCCTGCAACATCGGCGAGTAGCAGAGCTGGAGCAGGGGCAGGAGCAGCAGAAGTTCCTGCGACATCGGCAAGTAGTGAAGGCGGATTGATGGAGGTGGACATGCCTCCAAGAAAAGCGAACTCAAACTTGTGTATGATTTTGTCTCTTACTAACTCACTATATTTCTAAAAATATAATGCTATGAATGCTCTAAAAACTACTATTGGATGACAATTGGATGAATGAAATGTTGTAGGATCTTCTCTATTTATAGGCAACAAGACCTCTGTTTAGAAAAGATGTGACTGAAAAATATCAACAAATGTGTCTTTTCATGTTGCAACCATAAGCTAAGAAGTGCAATGTTTCATTTATTATGAAAAAATGCAACTTAAGCCGAGAAGTGCAATGTTTCAATTTCTATGAAACAATGCAACTTAAGCCAAGATGCAATGTTTTAATTTCTATGAAATGATGCAACTTTTCATATATGAAACAATGCAACTTATCACATAAATTATTATTATTTTACAAACAAAATATATAATACTTTATTTTTCCTCGGTTAAGAACATGACTATTCCCAATGGATACATACCAATTCGTAAAAGTCATGTACTTAAAGTCACAAGTCCCACAATTTAATTTTCATTCAATTGTTAAAAAATTAAATATAAATATTATAATTTTCTAACAGCATGACTTCGAAGTAGTGGCATCTACTTCCTATTATTAATTGAATCTATTAATTACTTTTAATTCATTATTATATTATGTCTATGAATGGAATAAATCGAAATAAAAATTCAACTTAGTTTCTTACTGAATAATGTGAGTCGTACAAGTTCTTCTGTCATGTCCTGTTTGTCCACACCCATGGCGATGACGTTTACTCTTATTCATTGCTTTCTCTTTTGCTCTCTTCAATCTTTTACCGCAGCCCTTCGCCCTTACTTGAAGAGGGTCATTCAAATGTGGTGAAAGATAACTACTAGTTGCATTTTCATTATTGCCTCCACATATATTGTTACTACGACGCACCACAAAATTTATCTTTTCTCGCATACCTTCAAAACTTTCTAGTAGAACTTTACTTGCCTCTTGAGATACCAAGGCACCATCAATAAGTTCAAAAGCAAGTTTAGACAATCTTGTTTGCCTCATTAATAATGAATTATCACCACTTTCAGTAGTAATTTGCCTTCCACCCTCTTCCACAACTATATCAGATTTTGCGGCTCTTGTCCACCTCTTTAATATATATTTATTTGACAAATACCCAATTTGTCTCATTTTCAGGTATGCCAACACATGCCTGCATAAGATTCCTTCAAATTCAAATTTCTTACATATACATAAAGCATAGTCTGCAACTTTGTCAACCATGACTTCTTGCGCCTTCAACTTGAAGCTACCATCTTTTTTCCTCTCCATTACCTTATAAAAGCATAAATTGTCATCCTCTCTTGCAAGTTGAAGTACACATGCCAAGCATTTCCACAACTCTTTTTGAAACTTGTAGAAAATTTTACGAGTACAAATGGCAGCCATTTGCTTCTCCATTATCAATGGAGATTTCAACATAGGCTGCTCATTGATATCAACATGATCAACAATTATCTCTTCATGACGTTGCTGGGCAAGCGCTCTATTAAACCGTAGTATGAAATCCATTAAAGAATTTCTTTTTTGAAATATAGAGCTTGAAAAATGCATGAACACCCTCTACTCGTTGGCTACTTGACATTCCTATTGAAAAAAATATATCTTTCACATATGTTGGCACCCATCTTGAACGTATTCTATAGATTGAAGATAGCCACTCATCATCATTTAGTTTACCTTGTGGACCACATCCATCCACTTTGACTCAAATTCTTCCTTTGTGTATGATTCCCACAACCAAAAAGAATAGTTTGACCATGGTTATTAACCCCTACCAATGGGGCAAATACCATACCATATTGATTAGTATTGTAAGTGGTATCAAATACAACCACATCACCATAAAACTTATAAGCTCTTCTAGATGTTGGATCAGCCCAAAAACAATGTTTAAGCCTATCATCATCGTTAGCCTCTATCATGAAAAAGAATGATTCATTTTTTGCTTGCTCACTCAACATCTGTGCATCATGCCCCTTCATCTTTCTCTGCAATTGTCTTTTGTAGTTATATAAATCTTTCTTTGTATATCCAATGTTTTGCATCCCTCCTGCTTGCACTTCAAGAAGACTAAATTGTTGATGTGTTGGGATATTAACATCACCAAATTGTTGATTTGTTCCTTCTCTTACCTTCAGAAACTCAATCTTAGCCTTACACCCACTTCGTACTACACCTCGCCGCCTTTCACTTCCATTAGAAACTTCTTTGGAATATACTCCCTCTTTGTAGCACACATATTCTTTTCTCAAGATCTCATTAGAAGTTTTACTCCTTTGCTGACAATAACTTCGAACACTAAATCCCGCTTGTTTTGCATAGTTATAGAAGTTATAGGCATCCTCAAGTGATTCAAACTCTTGACCAATTTTTGGTACATGTTGATCTTCTACTTGAGGATTGGAAAATAAATCTGAATTATTTTCATTAGTATCATCCATAAATTCATATGTCCCGAGTCCTTCTTGTGGGCTTCCCCATCTCTAAAGTTTCATCTATTAAAGCAAAAAATAACAAAAATATTGGTCAATGGGACATTGGTAAACAATAGCAAAGAATATGGTAGCAATGCTTAAACCAAAAGCCAAACTCGTAAGTGCATATGAAACCTGAATTAGATAAACTTTCAACCAGAAAACGAAATAGAATAACTTAGCCAAAACCATACAAAAACGAAGACCAATTAGTAGCCAAATCCATATAACCCATACATCAATGCTTTCTACTTTTCCAATTCCAACCTTCGTGATTTCCAACGAAACCCAAATCTTATTAGTAAACAATCCCATGCCATAAGAAAATCAGAAAAATTTGTATAAGCAAAATGGAAAATACCCATATATCATTAAGCAAAAAAAATAAAAATAAAAATAAAATAAAATAAAAATATTCTAACCTGGAGGAGCAGCTATGATATTGCCAGGGATGAGCACACAGAAGAGAAGGTGTTGAAAAGAATAAATAAAAATATTATAACCCAGAGGAGCAGCTGTGATATTGCCAAGGATGAAAGCACAGAGAAGAGAAGGTGTTGTGGTGGAAGAAGGAAACAGAGGTTAGTAGATTGGAGGTGTAAGCGCGGGAAATTTTGGCTCTTGCCAAAAGACTGAAAAGCTCTGATAGAAATAGATGTTTTCAATGAAGTTTTAAATCTACAGCGTACAAGGAATCTAATGGTCACAAATAGAAGTCCGCATCCACTCCGCACACTTGGACTTTGCAATAGAGAAAGTCATAGTATACAATATTATAATGTAAATATCATGGCAGGAATAGATTTATTCTCTCTTTAGCGGGCACATGGGTAAAGCTGAGTCCAGCTCCCCTCATAATAGTTTTAAAATGATACAGATTCCAACTGTGGGGAGCCATATATATCTTGATTTTATAACTGCTTGGTGCGGTTCATGTTATTGACTCAGAGTATTTGTAGACCCAAACATGGTTTGCCAAATTATCACATGATGGATTTTATTAGATAATTTGATAGCATCATAACATGGCAATGAGATACGATATTTTATTGTGAAATAACAAAAGTTGGAAAAAGGAAATTCTTATCTCTTTCGTTAGTCTGCGTCTCAGGAAAGACGATGGGGCCGCACACAGCCCGTGTCCTTGCCGCCAGTGTATGAGCCTGGCAGCGGCATGCGTCGTATGAGCCGATGTGGACTGCGAGAGCGTTGGAGCCCATGGAGTGACGCCCTCACTTCTGATGGTGACAACAGCGAAGTGGTGCATGTATACATAGTGGCAAGTTCTCTGGCGTGCCAAAGTTTAAGCAGTGATGGAGGTACCTCGCTGACTTTACTGGCTCAAGTGACTTCGCCATGGAGATGTGGTAACGACAGATGCAAGTCAACGAGCTCGGATGACAGCCACCAGGAGTTTTTCAGGAGCAACTCTCCACAGCTCCATCCCTAGTGTGGCACGACCACTCCCCAGAGCCGATCTAATTTTCGCCTGCTGTTCTTAATTTTCAGAGGAGAGACACATAGGTGTCTTGAGCACACTTCGCCAAGGGGCTGGGCCAATGAATATAGCTCAGTATGATAAAGGAAAATGAGACCTTTTGTCTGCTTTTCCTGTAGACGGCGCCAACTGTTAATGGGTGATTTAGCACGGGCCCTAAAGGATATATGGACAATCACACACATTATACAGATTTAGAGTGATTCACCCATGAATCGGGCTACATCCACTGTAGAGCATGGTATTTAAATTTCACTATGAAGGATTATTACAATATACATGGAGAGCCTGTTGGAGGTCTCTCATAAGCCCCTGTCAATGGGAGTTGGGCCTCTTATATTATATAGGAAGAAGAGGGGAGCCATGCGTGCCCCTTGTTTAACGGGCAACTTGGGTTGGTCACCTGAGGCACAGGAAAGAGGCCAATCTTGGTACTTGCGGCATGTGGGAGCCCAACTTAAGTGGTCCACTTGCTTAGGCATGTTAGGCCAGCTAGGAGGAGGCGTGGGCCTTTTTAAGTGCAAGGGTTTCTTGCCTTGTCATATGATAGGCATATGAGACTAAACCCACTGTGGAGGCCACTATATTGGAGAAAGCGCGTGAGGCCAATGATGGTATCAACACAATTGATGCATGTTATAAAAGCAAAAGACCCAATTGCATAAGACCTGGAAAGAGCCTCGAATGCACAAGACTCCGGCCAGACTATAATGAGGGGTAAGTTATAAGGGGTAAGTTATAAGGGGTTCACTTTATAGTCATTGGATCAATCGAAGGGCTGGGGAGAATTGGGATAAAGTTGTGCAATCGGGTAGGTGAGGAACCCAAACCCGAATTTAATATCCAGCAATGAAGTTGGTCCCAACAAAAAAAAAGAGAGGCAAGTTCGAAGTTTGAACAGAAAAAAACCCATTGATCTCAAACTCATAGCTGAGAGAAACTGCTAAGCTCTGAGAAACGGTTGAAGGCAACGGGCAACGACGGTTGAAGGCAACGGGCAACGACGGTTGAAGGCAAAGGTTAACGACGGTTGAACGCAACTCCACTATCTAAACCGTGAAAAAGTATTTATTTTGAGTGGAAGGAGCAAAGGCGTGGATTCTGAAACAGTGAAGACGAAGCAGTGGAAGGGGAAGGAGAGAAGCCGTATTCGTTGGAAGTGATAGGTTCCATTTGTGGAGCAAAGCCCACAAAGACCCAACACAGACACCTTGCGATTGTTCAATAACCAGCATTTGGTGAGTAATTTATGGAATTTGAGTTTAGGGTTAGAGTAACCGTTTTCCCCCAATTTGTAGCATGAATGTTGTTAGATTTGGCATCTCTTCTTTGTGCTTCACTTGCATGTTAATTTTTGCTTGGGTATATGTTAAAAAACGAATGAATATAAAGTCAATAACATGTCAATAACATGTCAATAATGATATGAATAAGGTAATGGTGTTGAATTGGAGGAGGCCCTCAAAACCTTCCACATTTGAAGCAGTGCAGAGTGCAGATTATCTCTCTGGAGCTAGAATATATATAATTTTGAAATAAATATTATTTCCGTTGTTACTAAATTTGCCTGTTAAAAATGAGAACAGATAATAATAAACTCATGAATAAAAGTGCAAAGCATTTGAAAAAAGGTTGATCTATGACGATTATGGCTGACTGAAGAAAAAGCTAGAAAGAAAGAAGGATGTGGCAATGGCTTAGCGAGCAGATAGCAGAGCAGATGCTTTGCTTTGCTTCCTTCCACCATCTTTCTCATTTATTTATTTATTTATTTGTGTTGTGTATGAAATGACAATAATTGTCATGTGTGTGAAGTGCAGAACTTGCCTAGATTGCACTCACACTCACTCATGCATCAACCATTGATTGGAGTTTGGATCCATAAATAAAACACATGCTAGTGCTTGTAATTCACAGAATCATTGCATTAACAGGTATTTGCACAAAATATGTCATATTGCTTTGATGATGTTAAAGCCTGTGATCAGTAATCCCTATGCGCATGTACTTTGTAAAATTTGTAATGTGCTGGTTGACTAGTTGTGTAAATACCAATGTGATTGTGCAAATACGTGGTAGTATATGTGTTCACGTTATTTCATCTTGTATTTCAGGAAATGGGATCCAACGTTGAGCTGGTATGGCCAGAGTCAGAGGCATATTCCTCACGGGTGAACAACTGCTCACATGCAAATTCATCCCTAGCTGTAATTCGAGCGAAGTTGAGTGCCGAACAATTAGAACAATTCAAGACATCATGCTTTGGCCATCTTCTGAATATAGATAAGATTCAGTTTAGCGGGCAGATTGTGCATGGGGTTGTGTTGCGTAGAGTAGCGGGGCAGGGTGTGAAAGACTTGGATGGACTGAGTTTCTTAATAGGGTGCGACGTTGCTCAGTTCACTCGTCAGGATTTCTGTTTGATCTCAGGGCTTCGTTTTGGGGAAGTGCCTGAAGTTTCCAGTGGAGAAAGTGATGAAATTAGACTTCAGAAAAGATATTTTATAGACGAAGGAATTACATGTAATGCTTTAGAAGAAGCATTTGTGAGGTGCACAGAGGAAGATGACGTCTACAAGCTAGCTCTTGTTTACTTTGCTGAGTTAGTGGTTTTGGGAAGGGACAAACATTTGAACATCAATCTAAATTACCTGACCCTTGTAGAGGACTTGGATGCGTTCAACAGGTTTCCATGGGGTTCGGTGTCGTTTGACAAAACCCAAGACAGTCTGTTTTCTGCACCAACAAAGTATGTGAAAAGCTTTGAAAATGAAGAGGGAAGAGGGAAGGGGAAATGTAAGGTAACCGGAACAAGCCGGAGAAATGAGAAGGGCAAGAAGGATAACCATGGTGAAGTGCAAAGGGGTGGCTGGAGTTTTAAAGGTTTCACGTATGCTTTCCAGGTACATGGTAATAATGTTCATGTCGTTATGTTCTGTTGACTTTAAAACTTAAATAATAACTTGTGTCCTGTGAATTGTGTAGATTTGGGTATATGAATTAATTCCTAGAATGGTGGACCTGAATTACTGCAAGGTTGTTGATCCGACAGCTCTCCCGCGTATTTTGCGATGGAGAACTACTACGTCTGTTCCCGAGATGAGAAAGTTGAACAATTATTTTTTCCAGAGCAAAGAGGTTTGGTTTGCAGCCCTTGGAACTATTTATAAGATTCAATGAAATTATGAAGTAGAATGATTGCATATGACTCTTGTCTGTTTTCTGAAACAGTCAGTTCAGTTGCGGGCGCTATGTCCAAGTGAAGAGGAAATGAGACAACCATATTGGAGTTGGCCACAGGGTCGCCCTGCTGTTGTCTCGGCAGAGTCAATTCCTTCTTCATGTGCTGACCTTGATGAGTTGAACAAGGCGGTAAGCTTGTTGAGGTCCGAGTTGTTTCAAGTAAAGCGGGAAAAGGACGTCCTTGAGTTAAAGGTCATACGGATGGAAAAAATTTGGGCCACTGTTTAGGTCCTCATTTTGAGCAGGAAGTGAGAAGGGACATAGCTTTACTGAAAGAGAGGACGAATCGTTGTGTCGTGTCACATCTATTTAAGGGATATGAGGAAGTGGATGGCATGCAATGGGATGAAGGGCCAAGTAATAGAAATGAAGGAGAGGCAAATGAAGAGGAGGACATTGAAGGGGGTGAAGGGCCAAATAACAGAAATGAGGGAGAGGACAAGGAAGAGGAGGGGATTGAAAGGGGTGAAGGGGCAAGTAAGACAAATGAGGGAGAGGAAAAGGAAGAGGAGGGGATTGAAGGGGGTGAAGTGCCAAGTAAGAGAAATGAGGGAGAGGAAAAGGAAGAGAAGGGGATTGAAGGAGGCCAAGTGCAAAGAAAACCAAGGGAGGTAGAGGAAGCTCAAAGGAAAAGAAGTGAGGGAGAGCAAGTGAAAATAAAAAGCAGCAAAGGAGAGGAAGCGCAAAGAAAGAGCATTGAGGGAGAGGAAGAACTGCAAAGAAAAAGCAGTGAGGGAGAGGAAAAAAAAAAAAAAAAAAAGGAAGGGCAAGGAAGTGAAAAGACAGAGAAGTGAGGAAAAGGAAGTGCAAAGAAACCAATGTGAGGAAGAGGATGATGAAGTTATGTTGGTTGGCGATGACATTGGCGAGAGCACGGAGGGGACAAAGGTTGAGGTTACTGTCGGGGACATTGATTTGGATCAACCTAGAGCTGTGTTATCTCAGTTGAACGTTTGGTTGAATGATGAAGGTCAAGGTGTGGAACGAGGGGTCCAATTACGGAAGAGGAAGAGGATTATTCCTATGTGGAAGATCGTTGAAGCTAGTGAAGTGGTTAAAAAAAATTTGCCAAAGACAACCGGACTTCGGACGTTAGACCCAATGAAGGCGATTCCGCATGATGATATGGTGAAATTGCTGAAACTTTGTTCGGAATGGCGCCATAACCCAAAGTAAGTCCTTTGTTTTTTGAGATAGAAGGCATGAGTGTATATATTTTTGTAATTGTTGTGTTCTAAAACTTTTTATATTCATAGTTTGGTGATGCAATTTGGCAACGTGGAAGCTGAGATTGAATTCTTCGCTTCCCTCGTCAAAGCTGACGGCTGGCTGAAAGGAGATGTAAGTTTAATTGATTATGCATTTGTTTGAATGTGCATAGATAATGAGATTGACAAGGAAAACATGTGCAGCACATTGATTTGGGCTTGTATCTCATCCGGAAGCGACAACAACAGTTGGAGGAAGTAGAAATATCGGATTGGACAACGACCGATGTATTTTTTATGGTATGTGATGCAGGATGCATAGGACCTAAATTGTTTAGTTTCCTAATTGATTGGTTAGTTTCCTATATTCTTTAGTTTTCCAAATCCTAGTAGGATTTCTAAGTTAGTTTTCCAAATCCTATTAGGATTTCTAAGTTTCCTATTTTATTAGGAATAGGATTTCTGTTTTACCTGGGGATTTTAATTCTATTCTCTCTAGGTTTTAGTTTGCTATAAATACCCCTGTGTAGTTCTTTACAATTCAGATTTGAATATTGATTAAACATTCCTTTAAACTCTCTGATTTCTGCCTGCCTTCTACCTTTTCTTCCCTTCAGCTTTTCTTATCTGTTATGTCTTATTGCTCTAAGTGTTTAAACTAACACACCCAGGGCTGTGCTACATCAGTATGGCATAGGCCTTGACCAAGTGCAGTTAATAATTACAAATTATCCATACTTGCTTTGTGGAGTTGTTTAACCATTGATTGTTTTCTATTTCACAGAATCACATCCATACTTGCTTTGCGGATAATAAAAGGAAAAAAGAGCAAGTTGGGTGGAAAATTAGAACCAGTTTAGTGAACGTTGTAAATGGCAAGGTTCCGGCTTGTGGATTGGATTGGCAGAACACGTATAAGGTGTATGTACCTTGTATGTTGCAAAAATATAAGCATTGGGTGGCTCTAGAGATTGATCTGATTCAGTGTGAAATCAAAGTCTACGATTCAATGGTTTCACTCATTCCAGATCAGAGCTTAAAGGAAGAACTCGGCCCCCTGTCAATTACGATTCCAAATCTTCTGCACACCCTCGACTTTTATGAAGAAGGTGTTTACGCGAACGAGTGCACCCGAGATTGGTGGTGTCCATGGCCAATACATCGTGTGGATGTTCCACAACAGGCTAATCAGTGAGCACAACTTTTTATTTAATTTTATTACTTTAATTTGTCAATTATGTTAGAATGTCATTAGTTGAATTGATCGAGT